TGCTTCCCAATGCAACGGAATCCAGAGCTCAGGATCCAACCAACAGCTCCTGGGGTCACAGAGGCTCCATAGCACAGCTGGAGGCAGCTGGAACCTCAAAGGCTCTACAACGCTTCAAGCCTCCAATCTCCATTGTAACTGCATCCCCACACCTCCTTCTCCCTGGGGACAGACATGGGGGAGTAGGGATTTTACTGACACTGATCCCACACCCAGGAGAATCCTGCCTTATCTTAAATCTGGAGCAGAGGTTCTCACACTCATTTGACTGACTGCCCCCTTTCCCAGAGTCTAGTGGGTAAGGCACTGAATCAATCGGTGGCACCACACACGGTTCAATCAATCCCTGAACACCACCAGGAGTGATCCGGCTGGGCAGAGACAGGAGTTAAACTGGAGTGCTGCCAGGGGTGGTCCCCCTCCCCACAGGAAGCACAGACGCTGAGGGCACTCCTAGAACTCTACCATCTTCAAGGGAACTAGAGTACCCCTCCCTCCCCGTTCCCAGCAAGGCTTCCAACACCCTTTGATCTTCCCAGCCCTCTGCCCCCACCCACACTTTGAGGTTTTGGAATGGGGATGGGGATATGAAAAGACAAACACACCATCTCCAAACCCCACCAACAGACCACAAGGGAGTTAGAAAACGTGGTGCTATTCACAGAGCTGAGACCACCCCTGGTCAGCCCCCCACACTGTCCTGGCAGTGACTATTCTGTGAGCGTCTCACCCAACCCCCACCTCGCACCCACTTGGATGCTAAAAAAGTCCCCTTGTGTTGAGGATATACCAGGTGAAATACTGTAGGCAGGAAAGAGATAGGAAGCAAATAAGAGAAATAAAGATTATGTGTCTGTGGACCATGGGACCTTGTTTACCTGAGTGGGTTTCTTGGGAGGGTGGGGGAGGCCGCACCAGTGGTGCTGGGGGCTACCAGGACCACACCTGGTAATGCTGAGGTCTTGCAGTGCCTGTGATCAGACCTTGGGCCCCAAGCACACCAGCCCTTAAAGCCATCCCCCCTGATCCCCCGCCCTGTCCTACTGGATTATGAATGTTACAGGTACCACAATTTAACAAGTTAATAAACAACTTTGTAAAGCATTTAAATGAAAGCACCCAACTAAAATTAAAAACTTTCTAAAAATTCATTCACACCAAAACTAACGAAGCCCTATAGAAGGTGGGATCTGCGGAGGGTCCAGGCTCTCTGGCCCTACCCCACACTTATCTCCAGAACATCCTGTCTTCTTTAGTGGAGAAACATCCCGTGGAAAAAGACCAAAATGCAAAAAGCATGTTTGAATCTGCAGATCTTGGGAACCATTCCAAAGGGAGAGATAGGACTCCCAGAAACCAGCTCCAGCTCCAACATCCTGAATCAATTTCTGCAGAATATATATGTAGAGGGATGGGGATGAGGGCCGGGGGAGGGAATCAGATTTAATGTCTGACTTTTATGGGATGTAATAAAATGGAAGACTTTGACTTTCTAGTTTATACATATTGCTTGGATTCCTTTGCAAGTTTATATCACTGTTATAGTTAAACATAAAAACTAAAAACAAAAGCAAATGCCTTTGGCAACACACCAAAGCCCCGGTAATCACTTTGCTATGCCTGTCCAGGGAGCTGGGAGCTGGGAGCCAGGGGAGGGAAGGGGAAGGGTTCTTCTGAACGGGACCGTCGGCTCACAGCTGTGGTCAAAGTTGATCACCAGTCACTGTCCAGCTGGGTTTCTCCCCGCCTTCCTTCCGGGCAGGCACAAGGCCCGGTTCCGAAGCCTCATTATTCCGCAGCTGTTTGACACCAGTCCCAGAAGGCGAATTCCCAGAACAGGAGCAGCTGGGTAAAAGGTTTGTCCAGGGTCACCAGGAGCTGAAGCACCACATGACCCCTACGGAGATGCTAGTCTGGGAAGATGCCATCTGGAGTAACATCAACTATCAAATCTCGCGACACTTCTCTTCGGGCGACAACTGGCACAAGAGCTGCAGATGATCATCTGAGCAACCCTGCAGGAATGCTAGGCTTTCCCCATCGGCTGCCTCTCGAGGTTCGAAGCGGGCCTTGGGATTGTCCCGGGCTGTGTCTGCCACCTACTGGCTGAAGGTTGGTTGTGCAAAGAACTTCCCTTCCCATTCACAGCATAAGTTCACTCTGCTTTGTTGCACTTGGTGCTCAGGCCTTACTCCTACCTCTGTCATACTGAATCGTAGGGGGTGCCACGGACTGAACCCAGGTAGGTTGTGTGCAAGCCCTTACCAATGAGCTCTCTCTTCGGCCCCACATCCACTCTACAGACCTGGGTCTAGATATTGTCTCAGTGGGCCTCCCAACACCCAAAGGCAGGAATGGTAAATTTCATGCAGGTAGATTCAAAAACAGAGGTGAAACAAGGGAATAGAGCAAAAATATTGACTGTCATAATTGTGACATTTTTGAGCAAGGCTTACAGAGCAGTCTTATAATAGTGGTCTTCCTTTGCTCATCTACATGCCTCATATTCCATTACCTTAAAAATAAGCTGTGTGTTCAGATAGAGAAGGGAGCACCAAATAAAGGGTGTTTGGAGGATCCTCCCAGGAGGGGAGATGCATGTTGAAAGTAGACTATGGACTGAACATGTTTGCCACTCAGTGCCTCTTTTGCAGACCACAACACCCAAAAGGAGATAGAGAACACAGGGGATTGCCCTGCCACAGAGGCAGGGGGGGTGGGGGGATGGGGATGGGAGGGATATTATCCATGGTGGTGGAAAATGGGCACTGGTGGAGGGATGGGTATTTGATCATTGTATAATTGAAACCCAAGCACAAAAAATTGTAAATCTACAACTGTATCTCATGGTGTTTCACTAAAAATAATAAAAAAATAAAAAAATACGCCGTGTGGGGCCCGTAGCTATAGTACAGCATACAGGGCGCTTGCTTACAACGCAGTCAACCCGAGTTGATGTGGCCCCCAAGCCCCACCAGGAATGGTCACAGAGCACAGCCAGAAGTAAACCTTGAATACCACCAGGTGTGGCTCCCACCTTCCAAATATGCTGTGCTGAGGCCAGAGTACAGAAAAGCACTTCACCTTCACACAGGCTCAAATTCCCAGTGGTCTCCAAAACATCCCAGAACAGAGCTAGGAGTAAACCCTGAGTACTAGTGGTCCTAAAATAAAAAACGTGTTCAGAGAGGTTATCTCCCTTCATGAACGTCAACACTTCTATTTATGCTTTACGTAGTTGCTTGGGGGCCACACCCAGCAGTGCTGGGGATTGAATCAAGGACTCCTACATTCAAACCATTGGCCTTTGAGCTATCGGGGGAGGAGGGTGGATCATTCCAGCTTTACTTACAGGGCATCGGCACTCAAACCTTGCATGGACAACCCAGCACCCAATATGGTCCTTGAACAGAGCCGGAAGTAAGCAAGCCTGGGCACAGCCAGGTAAGGCTCAAAACCCAAAGTACTCAAGGCAAGAGCTTCAGTAAGTAGCTCCAAGTTGAGCCCCTGTTTTGCATGCTGGGCCAGGTCCCACACTCCCAGCATTATTCTCAGAAGCACAATAAATAAAGCACAGTAAATATTCCCAGAGAATACCCTGAGCACCAATTTAAGTTTATAATACAGTAAAAGGCAAGCACCACCACTGAGCACTGAAATACCCAGTTCACCTGCCTTAACAACTGCGCTAAATCCACCTGCCTTTGCATAGAGGTAACCCAGAGCTGATTTGGCCCCCGCTCTGATCTGCCCTCCCCAGGCTATGCAGCATATAGGATGTCACCACCTATTCCCACAGAGCAGAGGGAGTGGATTCCTTGACATGTGTAGGAGAGAACTGAACACCCAGTTTCAAAGACACATCATGTTGGTTTTACGTACAAAACTAAAACACCTGGCTATCCTCAACTGCATCAGGGCCTGTATGTAGTGCCAGTGTTCCAATCCAGGCTGGCTGCCCTTCAGCTGTACTCAGTCCCCATCAGCACTTCTAACAAATGTAGAGCCCTGCTTCACTTGGTTCCTTGAGATCACTGGTAGAAAACCAGAAGGGAAAGTCGTGTTCCTGCGGTTTACAGAAACTTATGCAACCAGGGTCGAACCCAGCAGCCCAGTTAATTCCTGTCTGCAGAGCCAGCAATAATCTGAGCATCCCTAGGTGTGAAATAAAAACCTGGGGCCAGAGAAAATACAGTGGGCAAGTGCTTACTTTTCAGTGTAGTCCATCTAGGTTTTACCAGACACCACACAGGATCGCCTGAAGCCTCAAGAAATGTAAGAGCTTAGGGGGAAAAAAGGGCAACTCAATCATCACGAGCAGATTATCTCCTTCCCAAAGGCACAGTACCCATTTGTGTTCAAGTTGGTCAAAAGTATAAGACTTGATAAAATCATGAGCCAACAGTTTGAGTACGTTCCTAAAAACAATGGCCTATAGTCCTTAAAATGTTAAGTTTAGACACTGAGTTCAGTAGGGCAGGTTACTTGCCTTTTATGCAGCAAGAATTTAACCCATGGCAGCCCATAAGGTACCCCAAGGCCTGCTAGCAATGATCCAAGCAAGGGCAGAGCTTGGAGAAACCCAAGCACTGCCAGATTTTGGCCCCAAAACAAATGTTAAGTTTAGGGACCAAGAAAGAGCACCAAACCAGGGACCAGATAAGGCCCTGGCTTTGCACACTATGATCCAGGCTCTATGCCTAACACCACATGTTATGGTCCCCTGGGCCCCACCAGGTGCGACAACACAACGCCAAGTTTAGAATGGATTCAGTGTATAAAGATGTACTTTCCTCTGCCAAAGGTAGCTGGCAACTGCAGCCTTGGCTTGACTTATACTTGTATCCGGCCTTGTCATTCACAAAACACTCCATATAGAAAGCATGATTTATTATTTTATTATACATTTTTATATTAAAAAATCCAACATAATACATCAGGGAGAGGGCTTACAACATCTTAATGTAGGTCTGACCACCTCCAGAAGGCCATGTTTTTCATTTAATAACCCCTCCCAAATACGTACAATCCAACTACAAAAACGGAGCTGCAAAGGATGTATATAAAGATAAATGAGACTTTCTTGATGTTAATAGTATAAAAACACTTGAGGTGACTAAAGAACCATGAGACTAAGGAGAAAATCTGCCTGAGAATGGAATGTTTCCGGTTAACAAGCAGCTGAATGAATCCTACTTAATCTGGCAACCACCTGAAGTAGAAGTAGCCAGGTTCATAGCAACCTGGGCACATAAAATAGTGAGAAGTATGTGCCGGGAAGACTGCTAAACTTGTTTCTCAAGAAGGCACATTTTTCCCAAATCCTTTCTAACTAAAGACAAAATAGTAGGAAAACCCAGTATTTAGAGTCTGTCCACGTTGAGGTATTAAATGCATAAGAAAGATTAGTAAAGTCCAAATAGCAGGCAATAGAAATACTTGTAAAACCAACATGGTTAAATGTTAAGATTTTTAGAAATCAAAGTATTTATTCACATAATTTTAAACTAAAAAGTAGTAAATCTCCTGTGGTAATGATTTAAGTGCAAGTGATGCCAGCTTTCTTTCACATTCGTGTCCTTCATGCAGACGATGCAGATCAGTTGTTCTTGAACAAGTCAATACAGCTCTGCAAGAGGGAGACGTTGTTCTGGAAGAAAACAGGTCAAGCAGATAAATGAGTAGCTCTGAAATCTAAACACTTCCTCCAAGCACCAAGAATAAATTCACTCAGTTTTTCCATTGCCAAAATGGGAGCTCTCCCCCCATACAGATTTCTGGCCCCATCCAGTGGTCTTAGGGACCACATGGGGTGCTGGAATCAAACAATGGTTCACTGCGTGAAAAGCAAGCACCCAACCCACCGTCTTATCTTTCCAGCCCCTATGGGCTTTTCTCCATGAAATCACAAATGAAATTATGAGGCATACCCCTCCCCCCACATACCTCAATTTCATTCTAGCAAATTCCCTCAGATCTGTACAGTATACAAATTTCAAAATACAGCAGGTAGGGCATTTGCCTTGCACATGGCTGACCCAGATTCGATCCCTGCAACCCATATGGTCCTCCCGAGTATCAACAGGTGCAGCCCTAAAACAAACACCTCCACTAAGCAACTCCTATCTAATTATAGAGAACTATAGTGGCAAATCTTCTATGTGATGACACTGGTAAAGTGAATTGGAAAATAACTTTAAATAAATCCTAAAGATTTTAGGCTTAACTTACCCTTGCATGCTTTATTTCAAGTTCAGACATTTCAATTAGATTCTTTCTAAATGCTGCCACTCTCTTTCTTTTGAAATTGACCAATTCTACAAAACAAAGTTAACCATGAAAGTTAACAATTTTCACCTTCACTTTTAATTTTTAAGTCCAAAAAAAAAAGAGTACTTCCAAACCTTGATATACCCCATCCTCTATTTTTATCTCTGCAATTAAGGGAAGTATCTGATATCAGTATGTACTACATAAGTGCAGTGACATCTGCTTTGTCTTTAAAAACAAAATCAGAAACTGGGAGAATGACCATGGGCTTCCTGAAGCAGCTTTGTCCTTATCTCTAGGTAGATGACTCCACCCATTGCCCTCTTTAAGGGTAGGGACCTAGTCCAACCCTAACTGGTGATCTAAGAACAAACTGGGACATAGTACAGCGGGGTTGGGGCGGGGGTGCACAAAGGCCACCCAGGTTCAATTCCTGGCACCCTGTATGGTCAGTCCCCCAGCCCTATTAGGAAAGATCCCCGAGCAGAGACAGGGGTAAACCCCAAAGCACTGCTAACCATAGAGCCTACCACAAAAAAAAAAAAAAAAAAAACCCCACTACCATTATCAGAAGTCTAGGCAGAAAGGATTTCAGGCCTAGTCTTGATTTTCTCAAGGGTTATAAATTGTGGCACATAATTAGGATAGATGCTGTTAACCTATTCTATTCACAAGTGAAGACCATGGGTCCCTAAATCTGACCCATTACCTCCTTCACAGAAAAAAAATACCCAGCAAGTCACCACTGATCACAGCCTGTACAGCACCAGAAGCTTGTACCTCTATGCCAGACCATTCCAGTGTCGGGGGGAGGTAGGGACACACGAGGCATTATCCACTTCAGGATAAACTGACATACACCAACCTGAATTTCACATTGTTTTGAAAAGAAAACCAACCCTCCAGTACTGAAAAGATCCTAAAAGTTTAAGAGCAAAGCTGTGATAATAAAATGCATTCCTAGACTGGATCTGGTAGCTGTAAACATCACTAAATCAGAGAATAAAATAAGAAACCCAGCAGACTGCCTCTGAACTATTTATGCAACCTTTCCTCTCAATAAGCTTGAAATTAATTTCAAAACACCCAAAATTCGATAGTCTCAAACCTTCTTTTGCAGATTCAGAAAGCTGTTCAAATTTCTGAAAACATTCCTGCTGGTGTGTCTCAGCCAGCTTGACATCTTTGCTTTTCAATCGAGCTTTGTCCAGCGCTTTGTTTGAATTCTCATAATCAATGAGGGCTTTGGTGCGTCTATATAAAAGATCCTGAGAAAGTTATATATAAAAAAGAAACCACTTTAACAACAGGTATAACACTTTAACAATATGTAGCTCACCTGAGAATTCTCTAAACAGAGTATACTACCCTAATAAATTACCCAACATCCCAGTGCTAATGGACTATGTGTACTCCAATGTTAAAGGATAGGAAGGATCTAATCAATCTACTTCCATATTCTCCTTTAAATAAGATGGCCAGGACCACCATTTTTCCTAGAGGCTCCCAAGGAGTGCTCAAGGTACAAAAAGGTTAACCCCAGTCCACGCAGTGCTGGAGATTTATTTAACAAGACATGAACTTCAGTAACTGCTCAAGATTCGAGTAGGGCTAAAAATTTTGGGATAGGGGTATGGTGTTCAAAAATAAAATATCCTATGGTGAACCTAAAGAAAGTCTTTCCAGGGGCCAGAGCAATGATACAACATGGAGTCTGCCTTGCAAGTGACTGAACAAGGTTCAATCCCTGGCACCACATATAGTCCTGAGCCAACCAGGAGTGATCCCTGACCACCACTGGGTCTAACCCAAAAACCTAAAACAAAACTGAGAAGGAAGGAAGGAAAAAAAATTTTTAACTGGGGCAGTGGTAGAATGAATTCTTTTTCCAACAGGAAGAATTCATTTCCAATAGTATTCTGCTAACTGCTGACTTTGTTAAGTAATGCTTTGTTAATTAACTTCAAGACTACAATTCAGTGATAAAATTACCTAAAATAATTTGTGAATCATGTCAACAGATTTCCTGAATCATGTCAAGTCTGAGTGAACTATGATCCACTTAACCCAGCACCAGGAACCCACTGCTCTCAAGTAATCCCAAAAGGCATGTCACTCAATCTTGATGGAGCCAGATGAGTTAAGAAGTAAAGGCACTTGCCCTGGCATGTGGTCAGCCCCACTTTGAAGCCCCAGTATCATCACATACAATCCCTCCCAACCAACACCAAGGATCACTTCTCAGCAGAACGAAATAGCCTATGAGCAACTCCTGGTTTGACCCAAAAAGATAGTTACCTGGACAAAATTCCTAGAAAACCTGCTGGGCATGACCTTGGAGGACTGCACTGGTGGGCCAGAAGGGTGAGAGAAGGGGAGTGAATGAGGGTGGAAAAAGGAAAAGAAGGAGAGGAGAAAGAGAAAAAACACCTCAACATTAGGCCTGCCATGAACCATAACTAGGTGGATCCTTTTTATTACCGAGCAGTTAAAAATTGTACACCTACAACTTGATCACAAATATCTTTGTAATTCAGTGATTCAACAGAAGAGAGTGAAAAGACAGCTCAAGAGCCCAATGGGCTAGACCAAGAGGCCTGTGACTGATCTCCAGCACCAAGCCAGCAGTAGTCCCTGAACACACTAAGTGTGACCCTCTCCCCTCCCTCCAGCACCTAAGTAATAAATCTTATCTTACTTTAGCAGCCTCTATGTTAAGCATGTAGTATCGAAGGAGCTCTGTTAGCTTTAAATCTTCATCTGAGGACACGCGGCTCTCTATTTTCTATTTAAAAAAAAACAGTAAAAATGAATAGCATAAGCAGAAATCTATAATGCTGTTAATTATGTATTGCTCGAGATCATAAAAATTCTTACCCTTAGCTTTTCAAATAGCTCAGCAACCTTCAATAGATACCTGAAAATATACAAATTATCTTTGTAAGACGTAAGTGAGCAGATTCACAAGCCCTAGTCTAATTTGACCATTTCTCAGTCCAACTGAGAAGATGGCCATAAAACTCAACACATACAATGTTATATTCATGAGTTTTACCGTTTCGATGTCCACTGAACCATTTTGATGTATCCAAGACAGTACTAATGCCAAAATCCTTTTTACCAAGGTCAGGTTCTAGTAAGAATCAAGGTGTGTTCCAAAGTTACAATCACAAACTTCATTTGCTTCTGCCATTGGCCTGACCTCCATACAAATTTTGGGATTGGGGGTGGTAGCAGTTAGGGAACAGCACTACAGGAATAGGATCACGTGGTGCTAGCCCAGACCTACATGCAAATCATGTCTCACAGCCCAACCTAGGTTTTATATTAAGTCCAGGTACTAAAGAGGGTCAACTAGAGCCGCTCAGGATGCCTGGCTGCAAGCACCCTACCCACTGCACTATGTTTGCAGTCCTTTAAACAAGTTGAGGATCACCCTAGAGACATCGCGCTATCCGTATCATAACATGACTTAACCTCTCCATATGGTTCCGAGCCTTGTCGGGAGTAATACCTAAGCCAGGTGATCTAACTCCAAGAGATCTGCACCAATAAACATTTTAGTGCCAGGTTACCATATAACCTAGAGGAGTGTACACGAAAAAACTGACACATGCAATCACAGTATTTTTAATATTGCCCAGTAATCTTGGTTAAAGAGGGCAACATGTCCAACAAAAACTTACTTTTTAACGACAGTAGGCTCTTCTAAAGCCAGGCTATGCAGGGAGGCTGCAGTGTGAATATAGTCATCTGCAACATCTGTAGAAACAAGGACAGTTGTTTACTTGAATTGAGTATTACTGAAACTAAAGGACTACTGGATGAGTGGTACTTACTTTTATGAGATCTGGTCATTTTGTCCGCTTTTGCACAGGAATCCTTGATCCTATTATAATAGTTTACGAGAAAATTCTTCTCTTGCTCAAAGAAGTCATCTACCTCCTATAAGGGAGAATAAAAAGAAGCAAAACTTAAGAACATGAATACAAGTGACTAGAAAGAGAAGACAGCACAGCAGACAGGTGGTGGACTGTGTGGTGGACCTAAGATTAATCTCCAACACCTCACATGATCACCAGGAGCGATCCCTGCATTGCCAGATGTGGTGCCCTCCCCCCAAAAGAACATAAATAGATATAAATTCATCAAGTCTAACCTCTACAAGAGGGAAACGCAAAGAAAGATAACACTTCCTACCCAAGTTATGACAGAAAATGTCAAGCATTTTAAGAATCTTTTACACATCCATTTAGAAATATCCTCTAAATCCCAATTCCACACCCACACTGGTTCAGTCCAGTGGGTTCACTGGCAAGAGGTATGGTTTGACTGATCCTGAGCTGGCAACAATATTAGTTGCCTGGTAGGCAAGGGTCAAGGATGTGCAAAGCACAAAAAAAAACTTCCTTTTGGCAGGATGTTCAAGAAGCCTGCCTTGCATGTGTGGCCAATCCTGGTTCCTAAACTTAGCCTTACTAAGGCTAAGTTGACCCTAAACCAGAGTAAACCCTGAGTGTGGCCCAGTAACCTTTCTCCAACGCAATTTTTTTAAAATAAAATTTTCTTAAAATAATGAAGTCAGTTACCTTAACTCCGGAAAACAGAACTTCATCTGCACTTTTCACCACACTTTTGAAAAAGCCACCAAACACCTCTTTAGTATTCTTCCGCCTTACACTTAGCTGAAAAATAGTTTATGACATTTATTTTTCTAGGTTATTTGAGGAGTCCAAATATATCCAATATTTACTAGTACAGAAAGATGAAAACATTTTGCATGCCATTAAAACCGGATCTAAAATATTTAAATACCTAAAACCAACGTAGGCCACAATCCTAAACGTCAATGATTTTGAAAAACTTTAAGATTGTGGCTTTATATTCCCTAGAATTATCTTCATCTGTTTATTAAATTCAAACTAGAAGGATATCATGTTACGTAAAAAGAAATCACACGCACTCACTCTTCCTCTCATCTGAAGGAAGTTAGAAAACTATCTCAGAAGACCAAGCACACGCACGCAGAAAGCCTAGGTGCCCAAGGTGTCTTAAGCCATGCTGGAAGCGACTGCCAAGCTTTACCAGGTATAAACCACCCTCTCACACAAGGTAGCAAGAAAGAAAATAAATGTAGATCAGCTTTAGATCTTGCTAAGAATACACAAGGCAGGGAAGATAGCTCAAAGGGCTAGAGTGTATGCTCTGGGTCAAAGCCCAATGTTTGCTCCAGCAAAGCCCCTGAGCAAGGGCCACTGACCCAACCTGGAGCAGAAGTAGTCCACATGCAATGTGAAGAGTATTTGGAACCATTTACAACTTCCAATGACATCATCATAATTATTTCAAAGTAAAGTTAGAAAATAGGGGGCTGGAGCAATAGCACAGCAGGTAGGGTGTTTGCCTTGTACGCGGCTGACCCAGGTTTGATCCCCAGCATCCCAAATGGTCCCCTGAGCACTGCCAGGAGTTAATTCCTGAGTGCAGAGCCAGGTGTGACCCAAAAAGAAAAAAGAAAAAAAAAGACAAAGAAAAGAAAAAGAAATTAATAATTCTCACTGCAACTTGGTATCCATCCTAATACGGATTCCGCCACCGTTTTATCAGGAAATGATAAAACACCAAGAACTTCATTAGCTAGTATTTTAGAAAAAGAATCAGGGGCCAGAGTGCTAGTACAGCAGGTAGGTTGCTTGCCTTGCATATAGCCAACCCAGATGCAATCCAGCACCCCATCCCTGAGTCCCACCAGGCATGATCCCCAAGGGCAGAGCCAGGAGTAAGCCCTGAGCAATGTCTGGTGTGACTCCAAAGTAAAATAAAAGGTAGGGACAGAGTGACAATCGAGCAAGTCTTTTGCTGTGCTTGGGGTTTGTTCCCCAGCATCCATTATTTTCCCCCAGCACTGAAGGAGTGACCCCTAAGTATTAATTTATAGAATATGTCCACCTCCGCAACCCCAGAAAATATATCAAAAATACTCGGGGGAAGAGTTGGGCCATACCCAGAGATTCTGAAGGCTGAATCCTGGCCCACTGTTTAGATGACCATATGTAGTGCTACAGGGATCAAATAATCAAACTTATCCCCTGTATTTCTCCAGCCCACCCTCCCAAAGTACAATCTTTTGTCATCACTGTTAATATGGGACACACACGACTCATAATTTCAAGGACTAAAGCCAAGATCTAATACATGCAAAGCAAGAGCCATATTATACCTGGCCCGCAAGCAGTCTTGGATAGGTATATCCCTGGTACCAGGTATCCACCCACATCCACCCCCAGCACCATCAATGGTAACTAAACTTGCGCATCTATCTGAATGGGGGTCACGTAAATGGAACAGAAGTGACTTACATCTTGATCATACTCCAGAAACACATGGAAGTTGCGATCTTTACTGAGAACAGGGTGCGAAGAGAGGCGCTGAAGAAAAACTTCATGGGAGGAAACGGTCTTTTTAAAGACAGCGAGATACTCACTGAAAGGGAAGGCACAAGGCTTAGGCTGGCATCACTCAATCATGACCAATATTATGCACAGTTAATTCTGTTAATGCCACAAAATAACAGCAATAAATGTTTTGGCATTATTGAGGCAATTGCCAACAAAGGGACAAAGTGATGGTGTAACCAAAATTCATGAAAAAAGCATGTTAAGTTGCAAACTTAGAGCTATTTAGTCTTGTAAGACGACAGGTTCTTTCAAAAAACAAAAACATGTTTTATCCTGCAGTACATAGCACAAATTATCCAAAGAATAAAAGCAGTTCTCTCATTCTAGATGTCAACCCAAACAGATCATTTAAAATAGATGAAGGGGTAATGGGTGCTGAAATATGAGCTAAAGCCAGTGCTTCATGTGTGGCAGGCGCAGGGTGATTCCTGACACATTTAGAGCTCCAAACCTGGAGTAGCCTTTGATCCAGAGTGTGTGGCACCAAAGAAAACTCCAGAAACAAAACCTCAGATCATTCACTGTAGAAACTTTTGGGTCTTGTCTTCAGTGCTCAAAAATGCTGATCCTATCAATGCTGACCCCAAAGTTTAGAGAACAGAGAACAAAAGCCATCAAGAAGGATTGGGGGAAGAAGACAAAGGGAAGCAATGGGTGGACGGGCACTGGAGCTCCAGTTATCCTGATGTGGGAGAATGGCACAACCTTATATCCGAAATACAAACTTAACACTGAGAACACATAAGCTGCAACCACCAGAACTTTGTAATGTGCCTGTCAGACTGATGCAAACAGGGAGAAAGAATATGCAAAAACGGGTGGAGGAACCTTGACACTTGGAAGTGGAGTGGTAGTGAAATACTGCATGCCTAACATACAACTATCAATTTTGTAAATCATGGTTCTTTAAAGTTATTTTAAAAAATGGTGACCAGACTCTAAATGGGCTTGGGCACTGAAGAGAAGCTTACAGGTACACCTAAGCTCTAATATATTATTAGTGGAAGAAGGGGACAGATCAACAGCACAGTGGGTGGCATGAATTCCTTGGATATGGTAAACCTAGGTTTATTCCTCACCACCCCATATGGTCCAGAGCCAGGAGTGATCCCTGAGCACTGCCAGGTGTGGTCCAAACACCAAATTACCAAATAAATTGTAACCTTTTTTGAGGGTTGCAACATAATTTATATAAAGTTAAGTGAACTTTTCTGTTTGTTTTATGCTTTTTGGAAACTTCCTGTGGAATTGTAACCACAATCAGAAAATATCAGGTCTATTTTTAAAAAATCTCTTGTGTATTCCTTGTAGTGATCTCTTTTCCTTTTGTTTTCTAGAAGTAACACATTATACATCATATTAAGTTTATACTTTTAAGATGTGATATAAATAGGATAATGAACTTTTTACACTTTCTTAGTCTATGTCTTTTATTAAGCAAAATGCTCCGGACCAACTGGTATAGATTAATTTTATCGATGCTTTATATGAATATACTGAAGTTGAAAGACTTTGGGTTGTATATTTTAGTTTTATGGAAATTCTAAATAAATATTTACTTTAAAAAAAAACAAGTAAAACAAAGCGGATAGAAATAAGGTAAAGATATTCTGAAAAATTAGCGTTAAGATTCTTTTGTTTCTGCATACATCATACTTTGCTCTTCCTCAAAATATAATGTCCCATCAAGAAACCCACTTACGCTTCCAGCTCTTGCTTCATCTTAGCAAATTCTTCTTTGGTCATAGACCCTTCACCTTCTCCCAGTTTCTGCATCTTCTCCCGAGGGCCATCAAAGTCAGGCTTTGTTGGAGCTGGGGGTATCTATAACAGTGACAGATAACCCATGAGTGAATTGTCTCAGTTCTAGATAGTTAATAAATAGCAAGTAACCCAGCCGTGCTATCTAAAAAGGCAAACTTAATTTTCTTTCAGTAATCACCAATGTGACTGCCCCCCACAATAAGGCATGCACTGACTACAACCATTTGTTGTTTATTCACTATGGAATAAACTATTCCATATTCCATTACTATTTGTTGTTTATTCACTAGCAGATGCTGGTTTGATCCCTGGCACTACTGGATACCCCAAACAAAACAAAACCAAACGAAAGAACCCAACTAAGTCTGAAATGGCTGAATGGGCTGTTTACCACATGCACTGCATGTTAGAGACTCAGTACACCCTGGGCTCAATTCATGACGCTACCCCCCCCCCCCCCCAAAGTGGGAAGGAACAGAAAAGCCAGAGAGCCTTCCACTCTACCAACCCAGTTTCAATCCTGGGAAGAAGTGTGCACTGCAGTGTGGCTCAAAACCAACCAGTCTCCTGCTCCCCTCTCAAGGTCTAAGCCCAAATATAAATGCCTCCTTTTCTCCTCCGTGGGCAAGACTACCAGACTTGAGAGTCACCAAGTTACGTTTTTCCTAATTATTTATGCTTGATACCCAAGAGAACAAAGAAATGCAATTTCCAGACAGTAAAGACAAAATGCTCAACAAATTTAATGTAAAATGCTGACTATATGCTTCACCTTTTCACTAACAGCTCAAACACCTTTGTTGACTAAAGAAATCAGACAGTTCTCTCAATTATAAAAAGTGAACAAATCTCTAAATATACAGCAAGGTTGTAGGGCAAAAGCACCAATCACTACTGGTTTTCCAAGATGCACTTACAATAAGCCCTGCATAGTCTGCAGTTTCAATGAGAGTGTCATGTAGCCACACAAAGTCTTCATGCTGCCTTGTAACAGAAAACTCTGGGCTCTGAAAAGTGGGCAAAGTTGTCTGTAAAGAAAAAAGTGAAAGTTAATTGATAAACACCCTTACTAGATTAAGTCATTTGGCTTACGCATCCTGTAACTACTGGTTTCAATGAGAAAATTCTGAATAAAACATCAACGAATTCCAGTAAGGAACAAAAAACAAACCTCCCCACAATATACATTAAAGTTATATAGCTCAGAGTCAACATGTTGAGAAAAGAAAATTTTTTTTCATGGTTATCAAAGTAATAAAAGAAAACAAATGAGAGAAACTAGATGGTCATTAAAATCCTGGAATGGCAAAGATCAAACAAATGCTCTAGCATCCATCTACTTAATTCAAATTATGCTCATCATTTACTTTAACATCTTCACAAGCGCTGCAATCTGTGTTAATTATGCCACAGTGAAGTGTGTGTTAATGGTGGTGGAGCACAGTATGGGGCTGGACTGATAGTATGCACAGTAATTAATGTGTTAAATATTTATCTACTTTTTAAATAAGCAAAACAGGGCCAGTGTGACAGTACAGAGGGATAGGGTGCTTGTCTTGAACAGCCAACATGGGTTCAATCCCCACCAGGAAGGAGTAAACCCTGAGCATCGCCAAATGTGAAACAGAGTAATATTATAATAGGATATCACAAAGCCATTAAGAGAAAATAACCAGGGAGGTCATACAAAGGTTAAATGCGCATGCCTGCCTGGACTGGAGTGATAGCTCAGTGGGTAGGGCGTTTGCCTTGCACACGGAAGACCGGGGTTCGATTCCCAGCATCCCATACAGTCCTCGAACACCGCCAGGAATAATTCCTGAGTGCAGAGCCAGGAGTAACCCCTGTGTATTGCCGGGTGTGACCCAAAAAGCATAAATAAATAAATAAATCCTGATTTATCTTTAACTAGCATTAAAAAGGCTGAGACCAACAGAAAAAATCTTGACACACTTTTAAGTAAAGACTGATGAAAATTATGTTTTCAATACACTGAGCAAGGAAAAAAGGAAAAGGAAGAAGATACAAATGACAACTACCAGAGGTAAGGAACAAAAACTGAGGTTTCAGATAAAAACCCTTCTATTTATGTCTGACTCATGGCAAAATATTTAAATTTATGTGCCCCAAGCATGAAATAGCTATGGCCACCAAACCAGGCATCAAGCTAGGATGAACAAAGGACCAACTGCTTTGCCCCTGACAGATATAAGAGCACCACCACGAATGAGATGTCTCTTAGCCCACTGCCAGGGATTTTCATGGCAACTGTCTCAAAGGCAATTGCCTGGGGGGGGGGGGGGAGCGGGGGGAAGGAACAGGATTGAAAACAACTGGTTCTCTACATGCAAAAATGAATTCAAGGGGCTGGAGCGCTAGCACAGCCCCCGCCCAGTACCGTAAGGAGTATTTGGAGTAATTCCCGAGTGCATGAGCCAGAAGTAACCCCTGTGCAATGCTGTGTATGACACCCCCCCAGAAAAAGAATTAAAAATGGACTAAATTAAAGTGGGTGCTCAAACTATAAATCTAAAGAAAAATGGGAGAAAATATTTGTAACATTCATTTGGCAGAGTTTTTAGATATAACAGCTAACTCCTGAGTCACTATTAATGATAAACTGGACTTTGTGAAAATGAGAATATTTGTAATTCAAAGACTCTGTCAAAAACAAAATATAAAGACAAGCCACCTACTTGAAGAAATATTTGCGTAACATGTGTCTGATACAGGATCATCTCCAAAATACAAAGAATTATCTCAACCCAATGAGAAAATAATTAGCACCACTGAAAATGAGAAAAGATCTGCAGAGATTTCACTAAATGGCTGCGAGGTACATGCAGACGTAACCCCTGTGCATCCCCAGGTGTGACCCAAAATGCAAAAAAAAGTTTTAGAAATTAAGCACAGACTTACTACATACCCTAGCAATTCCACTCCTATTCAGGTACCCTGAAGAATTAAAAACATTTTGGCACACACACAAAAAGGCTGAAAATTTCCTATTAACAACTGACTCAGAAAATTTTAATATATCCCCCCCAAAAAAACCCCCAATTTCAAACTTGCAATTTAAATACAAACACGGAGTATCTTATATCTGTGTACATGTAGGTGGCACCAGACTCTTCTCCAGGTCTGCTCCCAATTCTTATCAACACAGCCCACAGACTGGGGACCCACACTGGAGTAGAAAATGTGGAAACAATATCAAAAAAGTTTGGAGCAGTAGTGCCACACTGCAATTAAATAATAACCACTTCAGTAAGTCTATCCTCACATCCACTCTAAAGAAAAAGGGAATAACATAGCAGTGTTTACATAACAAGTCATTTTGTCACTTACCTTGGTGTGCACTGTAAATTTCACCTTATCTCTCTCACTGAGGGCATCAGGTATATCAATCTGAAGTGAGGGGTCAATGTTCAGGTCCACAGATACAGATCTCAGCTGAAATATATTTTGGGAGTATTAGCCTCAAATTCATTTTAGTCCTCAAAAGTATTTTTCAAGGGGCTGGAGAGACTGAATAGGGGTGAAGGAGCTTGCCATGCACATGGCTGACCCCAGTGCAGTCAGGAGTAAACGCCTGAGCCCCTTCAGATATGGTTCACCTCAAAACTAGTTCCCGTTTTAATATAGTAGTTCAAAGCAGCCTATCCAAGACAATTTGGAACAGAATCTGTTGAAATAATTGAAACTATGTTGGAACCTCTAGTGTGTGGATAGCCTCAACCTAAAAAGCTATAGAAGATATAATTAGAGTAAAATTTAAAATATACATCTATGAGGGAGTATGGTGCTATCAACAAGCAGTTCAGCCAGAACCTGCAGGTCAAGTACATCAGCAGCCTGGTGATGCCTTCAGACTTCCTGATACCCCTGTGCCTCTGGCCAGACCCCAACAACTCAGAACCAAGTTTCCTGAGAAATTAAACAGCCACAAGTTAGGTATGTGGGAGTCATGCCCACAAACTACTTCTGGTTCTGCTATACAAGCTCATTTATCTGTCTTGCTTCAGAAACCCATAAATAAATCTCGAAAGAGGTCAAAAGCAGGACATTTAGTATTAGTTATATTATGATTCAGAAACTCACAAATGTATCTAGGAGGAGAGCAGCATGCTGCAAAGAAATCTCCCCACTCTGCACCAGGCTGATTTCAAGGGGCATCTCAGATGGGGGCAGGTGTCCCTCTGCCTGCCCCAAATGAACCCTGGCAGCCACAAACCTCCAGAAGCCAGCATGTTCATCCCAAGACCCCCACTGATGAGACTAAATCTGCCTCCCATGCATGAGAACGAATCTGCTGAAAAACCTAGGTATGGGGGAGTAGTGACTGAGAACTCCAGGCTTCACCAGGGTCGGGGATGGGCAAGCTCCCATCTCCCGACCCTTCCAATTTCCTGGAAGTCAAGCCCAAGAACTGCCCCTGAGAACCACTTAAGCGCCATGATTCAGAGACTCATGAATGAATCTCAGAGAGCAGCACATGGCAGAGATGGCTCTGGACCCCAAATGCCCCTCTAGCGACTGCTTCAAAGAGAGTCAAGTTTATATTCTGCCAAAAGAAGCAAAGAAACTGACTCTAAGAACTAGAAATTCAGAATACCAATACCCAACCTCCCTCCTGCTTGTTTGAAAACAGAAAGAATCAGGTTGTAAGAACTGTGGCTAGTAATATCTATCCAATTTAAAATTTACATCCCTGAATTCTCAGAGCCAAGAAGCTGCTATCAGTATGAAGGTCTGACACAAATGAGCAGGGTAAGCCTCTCATCTTAAATGTAAAGTAGTCCTAAAGAGTAACACTCTAGATTATCAAGCAATGCCAAGTGAAGACTACAGTTAAGAGGATAAAAGAACAGGGACTAAGACATTTCCAAACTATTTTCCTTTCAATTCTTTCTTAAAAAATAAAGTTCCAGGGGCTGGAGAGATAGCACAGCGGGTAGGGCTTTTGCCTTACATGCAGCCGACCCGGGTTCGATCCCCAGCATCCCATATGGTACCCTGAGCACCGCCAGGAGTAACTTCTGAGTACAGAGCCAGGAGAGTAACCCCTGTGCATGACCAGGTGTGACCCAAAAAGCAAAAAAAAAAAAAAAAAAAAAGTTCCACACCCAGGACTGAGGAAGTGAACGTCTAAAAATAGAATAACTGGTTCAATCAGGTATAAAAAGATAATAACCACCAAGACTTCATGGCACTTCTCTTACATTCTAGAATTTGTCAGTACTTCCCTTTCTTTAGCACTATGAAGAAAAGGCTTAGATTCAATCTAACTGGTTTTCCTCTAAGCGAAGTTTCAAGTTGTTACAGTTATAGCACAAGCTAAAATGAGTCACTGACATTTCAACCAATACTTCTTCCAGATAAACTGGAATAACTTCTTTAAAATGTGATTATCTTCACATGTCTATTAGATCTTGGCAAACAAAGATAAAAACCTCAAGTTCAAGGATTCTCTGTTTTTATCATAATGCGGACTTTAACTGACATTTCTGATAAAAACCTTCCTTCCTTCCACGAATATTCTCCTGTGCAAATACAACAGTGAAAAAAGCATGTGATCAGCCTGTGTAAGGAGGCAGCACATCCAATCTCAGCACAGTCCTCCAGCTCCCTATACCCAACATAGCAAGCACCTCCAGGTCTAACTTCCACTCTACCACCAGGCGCCCACTGCCAAGGGAAGAAAACTGAAGAAAAAAAAATCTCATATTTTACTGAGAAAAAAACTGGCCACCCCTTGTTTTTCCCCACGTCTGAGAACACAGCCAGAAAGAAGAGGGGCAAATCTGGTGGAAAGCTGAGGGCAAGTCATAGGACAACCCTAAGGTGATTCTCCTACCATATTTGCTGAGATCCATCTTCTACTGGTTTGACAGACTGCACTCAGTATCAAGCAGTAATCATTTTAGGGAAATATTAATCATCCTAGACATCAAAACAAAAATCTGACCAACATGACAGTCAAACATCCAAGAGATAAATAAGGAGACAAATCTGCAGAGGGTTTGAAAGAATTGTCTGAAAAAGAATAATGGTGAGTACTAATTCTGATCCCTTAGTCCAGTGTTTCTCAACTTTTTCAACCACAATCCCATGGAGACCTTGTTTTCTTTCTAGTTGCCCCTAGTTATGATATGCTTCCCTCCTCCCTCCCCCACACAACTCCCACCTATGGCCCCACTGAAATATCCTGGGGGCCTACAAGAAGTTATTATGGCCCCTGGTTAGGAAGCATTGAACTAAGCTATCCGCCAACTCAATGGGTGGTAGGTAGATTAAAATTTCTTCTATATCTTCAGCCAATGAAACAGATGAAAGTTGTGAAATATTTAAATCATCTAAGTCAGCACTCACCCCCATCAGGAAGCACACTCTGAAGTGTGATTAAAAGCTCAGCAGAGGTCCTTCTGCTTACTCAACAAAACCAATGCCCCATGCAACGTTACTTGTTCATTACTCGCCAGATTTGAGGGTATATGCAGTGGTTGTTGAACCTCCTGTATACTTTTCCCCAGGCACACAGCTTTATCCCCTAATTTTAAGAAGCTCTGTTCTGCTGAGTCGACACGAAGACCAGATATGAAAATTATCTATAATGGCTGGTTTAATCAAATAAGTCAGAACCAAGTACCTCCAACTTTAATCTATATTAGTTTTTGTTTCCCAGTTTCCTAAGTCACTTATAGTATGAATCAAGTTAGAAATCTACTCTTGGGGTCAGAGATAGCAGAGACTAAGAGGCTTCTCTGCACCGCACATGGCCTCCTGGACCCTGTTCAAGACTCTTCTGGAGTGCAGGGCCAAGGAAGAAGTGGCAGCACAGCAGGGTGTGGTCCAAAATGCAGGCCAGAGATCCATCCGCTCAGTGGTAAAGCTTATGCAAGGCATGCAGAAACATGGGTTCAATCTCTGCACAGCATTTAAAGAAAAAGACTAGTAACACACTCCAATGTCATTCCTTCAAACTGTTTATCTTAAGGATTATACTTTGATATCCTTTATCCTGTAAAGCAAAGACTCAGAGAAAAATGGGGACAATTAAGATCAGACCACCTATGGTCATTTGAGCCAGCAGAACTGAAACAGCGAGGGACTCCTGCCTCCCAGACGAAGGACCACATCCCACTACATACATAACTGTCACCGATTTTATGAAGCCCCTATTCCCACAAAACAAGGAAGTTTTTTTTAAAAAAACTGCAGCATTACTCAATAACAGGATGCAACAAAGGCAGGCATATCACAACCCTGTCCAAAATTAGATAAGGACACAATCTGAAATAATTCTGCTGTTGACACTAAATGTCCTAGTTTTGCAATCCAGCTTCATAGAATAACATCTCGATTCCTTCACAAGGATAGGACCAAGACATCTAGGCCTTAAATTTACTAACACTTTAGCTTAAAAACAAAAACTAACTGGGCTGTGCAGCAAGTGATCAGATTTCACCACTCATCTTAGTGAGATGGGACCCAGAGGGCCCTATCCCTGCTGACACCAACCAACTTACCAGCAGCCACCAACACACAAGCTGTCCACAGTAGAACACTATAGACTGCAGGGCAATTGGAGGCTACATAGACTCAGGTTCCCAGAACGGGAACTGAGGCTTGGAAGAAGATCAGTGACTGCGTACTCAGCGAATGGATAAACTGAATCATCATTTCACAAGGCTGCAAGTCCATGAAGAAATCCCAATATGAAATCCAACAGATTAAATTACTGTCTTAAAAGGTTTATCAGGAGGCTGGAGTGTTAGTACAGCTGGTAGTGCATTTGCCTTGCACGAGGCAGACATGGGTTCGATTCCCAGCATCCCATATGGTCCCCCAAGCACCACCAATATTAATTCCTGAGTGTAAAGTCAGGAATAACCCCTGTGCATCACTGGGTGTGATGCAAAAAGGTTTATCAGGAACTCAAATCTTAAATAACAGAAACAAATACACCAAACATGGCCAGAATAGTGAAGGTCATTCCAAGATTAGTTTGGAGCTGGGTGATATATGGGGACGAGGATTGAAAACTGCTTTCTATGTGGAAGCCTGGGATTTGACCCCATTTCAGCTCTGGATTTGATCACTTAGGTGTGCTTCTTCCAAATACAAAGCATCCAATTTAAGATTTTCTATAAATGCAGCCCAATTTCAGTTTATACTATGAATATTCTGATAGCCCCCCTTCCCAGAGTTGAAACTATAATAACTAGGTCCCTGACTCAATACTGGAGTACTTTGACACTGAGATTACAACGACATCCTTTGAATATTCCCTTGCTATTCTTTGTGGAAACTTGGGGAATGCTCCTCCCAAAGAATACTGTTCCTTCAAAACCTTTCATAAACTGAAAATAGTTTAAAGAAGCAATTGCTACTGTTTAGAAAATGGTTCTAGCATTTCCTGATCCAAAAAATAATCTGCCATGACCTGGATACTACAGGGGTTAAGATGCTTGTCTTGTGCAATCCCATTCGCTTAGTTTTGTTTATATTTATTTGTTCCTGGTTTGGGGGCCACACCTATAAGTGTCACTCCAGAACCCCACCAGAAGTGACAAAAATGAGAGAGGGATACGTGCATAGCTCAGCTACAAGATGGAGAAAAGGCTTTATACATGAGGCTGACCTGAATTTCCTGCACTAAGAGGAGAAAAGGACAGGATTTTAAATTAAGCGCTAGTGGGGGCAGAGCTAGTAGAGTGGGTATGACTGGGTTTCTTCCCAGCATACAGGTGTGGCCCTCAGGCCTCTAAGGCCCTCCCCCCAACCCTTGCAACAAACAATGAACTTTTCACAAGTAAAGGCACAAACACTGCCTTATAAATTCTCACTTCTCCAAATTCCAGCCAAGAGTGATCCCTGAGTGCAGAGCCAAGAATAAGGCCTGAGCACAACTGGGCTCGGTGGCCTATACACCCCAATTCTTGAACTAAGCCACTCTTCTGCAACATAGTCTGGAACCTTCAACATCACACCTTAATATTTTTTTCTCATCACATACTTTAATCGTTACTCTAAACCAAAGGTTATTTGACAAAAGAAAATCTGAAGACCTGCTAAATCTTTCAACAACCATTTGAACTCTCCCCAGCCCTGCTTGACTTTTTGGGCTTGATGCTTTTGGGGGGTGGGAGTGGGGGTGGGCAGTGGTGCTGTCAAACTACTATTGGCCTGGTGCTCAGGAGCCATGTGCTGGAGAGCAAATTGGGGTTGAAGCACATTAACCCCTCTGGCTCCCTTCAAATGGTAGCATGCATGGCTAGCAGACCCCTGTCTCAGTATACACTCCTCACCCCAGTAATTCTCACATTTTTAAAATGCATACCTTTCAGTTGAAAAAAGATTTCAAGTTATACACGTTTGTCACTCCGTCTCAGTGGAAATAACTTAGATCTCAAAAATGCAGAAAGTGCTATAAAAATAAGATACACCATCCTTCCTACTGAAAAAAAAAAAGCGAACAAACCTGCTAAAGCACTCTTCAGATAGGAATCTGAAGACAACGTGCAGATTACTGATCTGGAACACAGGTTCGGACTGCTTTGATGTGGTTCTGGTCAAGTTAAAAAAAAATTAAGTGAACTTCACGCCACCACCTCTAACATACACACGCAGTATATTTGGATTTGCTGCAGTGTTCCCGTATGATACAAATTACAGGGCACACCCCAAATTGGGAGAAATATATACAAATTTTAAACAACACTTTGCAAACTAGAGTAGCAGGCAGAAATGTACACCAATAGTAAGTAACTGGGTCTCAACCCACACCACCACACCATTCACCCAGTCTCCTGTAACAAGCTAGTAGTAAACCAAGTGGAGAGGCAAAGCACTTGCCTTGCATTGTAGCACACCTGGGTTCAATTCCTGGGGCCCATATGGTCCCTAGAGCCCTGAGAGGAGTGATCCCTGACACTGAGATGAAAACCTTGAGGGCATGGTCCCCAAACTGAAACAATACACCAAGCTGTAATACTTTCAGGTTAAGTGCTTTACCTAGCACTAATAACTTCAATAGCAATTTAATAGAAATTAAGGTAGAAGCCAATCAACTTGATCATCTTGAACTGGAAATGTAGTGGCCACAAAAGATCAGAGAACAATGTTTGAGGGCTCAAAAGCCAAAAACTGATTCAAAAAATCAAACATGACCAAGAGACTTTAACAATGCTGCATCTCAGAAAACGCGATGCTGCTAGCTAGGTAGTTAAGACTAGTTGGAAGAAGGCAAGCACGTTGCTAGTTGTACTATCTCTGATCTCGTCCCTAATTCTTTCAGACACTAGGCCTGGCACAATGCTTACTCTTCTGAAGTTAAATATCTGGATTTTTTTCCTCGGAAGCTGGAACCCAGGGCTTCACACATTCAAGGCCAACACTCCACTACTGAGCCACATCCTAGCCCAGAAACATCATTTTTATCAGTAGGGCCAAGACCCTTCTTTGTTCTGACCCCATATAGTCCCTCCTCTGCCCCACCAGGTGTGGTCACCAAAATCTTTTTTAAAAAAATTAATGATCTGAGACTGACCATTAGTATGTATGCACTCATGCTGGAGCTCGGCTCCATCTCCCATACACTATACATGTATCTTGAATAATCCAAGGAACAACTCCTGCTCACAAATCTGGCAGAAGCTGGGGCCCCCCAAATTAAGCAAGCAACTTCTCCTCTAAATCATTATTCAGCATAATAGGCAGTTTCAGGTCACAAGTTATAGGCCATACAACAGTTTTGCTGATTTTACATTTTTAGTAAATCCTGAAGAATCTAAGAACTCTTTATCTTTACAGAACATCCAAGCGATTAGGCTGAAATTCATTTGGGTAAAAGCTAAGTTTTAGAGGCCAGAAGAGTTCAAAGGGCTGGTGTGCAAGCTTAGGATCCTGCTGAACAGCCAGTGCTTGAGATTCCAGAGCAGAAAGCTGGAAAAAAACCTTTGAAGCACCAGAAAAATCAAACCAAAAACATTTTCAGCAAACAGGACAGCAAGTAACTCAGCTGTCCAGCACCTGCCTTCCCTGTGAAACTCTGGGTTCATGCCTGGCACCCCGTGCCCCATTAAAGCCAGGCACACTAACGAAGACTTGTCACTGAAGCTACATGTACAGCATCTGGTTACTTCACTTTTACTCCCTTTTGGTGAATGGTAAAAACTATCTAGACTCTATCATAAAGTTTCAGGAAGCAAAATGAAAGCATGAATGAGTTTCCACTAGTTCCTTTCTTAGTAAAAAGGCAGTGAAAGTAGCCTGCCATCGGATCACAAGTTTGTAGGCAGGAGGCCAAATTCCACCCCTCCCCCCGCTCCAGCAGAGCATGGCAACCCCTATCCCGCAGCTCAGGGTGTGGCTCACACCACCCCCCGCGAAAGAAAAACTGTCCAATTTTGGAGAATCAGAGTGATGATGAAGTTATTTCAGTAATAGAAAGGCGAGTTGAAGCACTGACTTCCTTCTGAACAATTACAACTTTGAATCAAGTTGGGCACCTCAACTTTTTTGGTGTTTGGCGGTCATGCCCAGGGTGCACAGGGGTCTGAACTGGGGGGTCACACCGGGCGCTCGCGCTCTGGGGTCTGAGCAAGGCAAGCGGTCCACCCGCTGACTCCAGCTCAACTTCTAAGGGGGGGGGGAACTACCTTTCGGGGGCGGGCGGGGAACCATTTCACGTTCCCCGGATCTAGGGAAGCCCGGTAACTCCTCCCGCACAACGTCGCACTTCAACAGCGCTCTGAGCCCCAGCGCTGGTACCTCCCGTGTGTGGCAGTCCGGACTTCCCCGGCGAAAGCCCCTCCACACGCTCAAATGCTCCTGCAACTCCAGCCAGAAAAACCCCTTCTAAAAATGCCATACCAGATTAGTATCCGGACGTGCTTAACATTCGTGATTACTCCCCCCCCCCACTCCCCTTTTTCTGCACACATCGCAAGGGGCTCCTTACCAACCCCTACAGAGAAACACACGGAAGTTGAAAAAAAAAGGGAGGGGGGAGAAAAGCAGAAAGCTTGCCTAGACATCTCTACCTGGCCAGTCTCCGGAGCCAGCCAGCATTATCAGTTCCATTTCAGACGGCAGGACTGGGACGGCAAGAGATAATAATTCATATAAGCAGAGGCTGATGGGGGGTGGGGGGGGCGCAACCCTCTACCTACTGGGAACTTCAACCTCCCACCACGGGCCCCTCGGCTTTATACAAGTCGAGATTTCCAATTTAATGGGAATCCCCGGAATCTGGGATCTGGGGTGTGTGTGTGGGGGGGAGGGGAGAAATCAAACTGGCTCGCGGCATAGGAAACCCTCGATCTCGCGGCAGCGAAAGCCTGCAACACCTCTCCCCGCAGGACTCCTCTCTCGGGCGGTGAACTCAGGCCTGGGTTCCACCCAGAACCGGGTCCAAAAAAAAAAAAAAACCCAGAACATCCCCGCGGCTCTCCCCAGTCTCCGCGCCCGGCCCCGCCGTCCCGAGAGCATCCCCGAGGGGCGGGGGCCTCACCTTGCTGCGATCCTCCTCCTGCTGCTGCAGCAACTCGGGAACCGCGGCCATGGCGACGCGGGCCTCGGGCGGGGGCCGCCGGGCTGCGCGAGGAAAGAAGAGGCTGGGCCGCCGCCGTCCGGGCGCCTCTCGGGGGCGGCTGCGGCCCCGCCTCTGCCGGCCTCCCCGCCCGGCGGCCGGCGGCCTCCGGCTCCGCCACCGTCCCAGCAGCCCCGCGCTCGGCGGGCGGCGCGCCACGTGCTCCCCCACAGCGGCCTCCCCCGTCCCCGGGGCCGTCCATCTTGGAGCAGGGCAAAAAGAAAAAAAGGAAAAAAAAAAAAAGCAGGCGGGGGGGCCTACCCTTGCTCGGCGCCGCGCGGAGACCACCGACTGCCGGACCGCGACCGGGAGACGAAGAAGGGACGCGCGGCCCGCACCACGCGCATCAATGGAAAAGAACGCGCGCCCCGGCGGCGGGAATTTAAGCCTCCGCCCGAGTCCAAAATGGCGGACGAGCCGTGACGTAGGCGAGCTCTCGTGAGCGTGAAGTAGCGCGAGAAGGGGCGCTCCCGCCGGAAGGGACGCCCACCCGCCTCGGGAGGTCTCGGGTGGCCCAGAGGGGCCGAGGCGGGCCTTCGGCGTCGCGGTGCCTGTCGGGACGTCCCTGTCGTCGCGCGGGCGTGGCCCCGCTCGCGCCCAAAGCGCGGGACGCATGAAAGTACGGGTCCCGAGCGGTCCTTCGCGTCCCGGGCGTTCTAGGCGAAGCGTTGGGGCCTCCAGGTAGTCCTGCCCGCCACAGGGCCGGCCTCGCGTTCACCAAGAGCTCCCTGCTCTGGACTCCCCCGGGGCCCACGGTCCCCGCCGCTGCTGACCGCCCCGACCAACCTGACCCCGACGGGGCCTCTCAGGGCTCGAGGCGTCGCCTGCGGGAGTGACCTCTGAGGCGCCCCCCAGGATCCCCCGGTCGATGCCCACCCGAGTCCTTAGTGAGGCTGCGTGTCACAGCGGCCGCGCCGGCCCCGCAGCCGCCCTCGGACCGCCCGTCAGCCTCGGTCACTGACTGTCCGGACGAAGGGTCACTGGACACTGCCGAGTCCAACCTGCGCGCGCGCGCGTGGAGCTCAGGAGGCTCCTGCTCGGCTCAGCGCGCGCAGCGCACGTGGCCGGTGTCGAACGCGGCGTCTTCTCTAGCAGGTTTGCGAGAAAGGCTCGGAGCCTTCAGCCCCAGAGCAGGGGGAAGCGGGGGAGACCTTGGAGAGATGGCGCTGCAGACCCTGCGCGGGCTGCTCAGCGGCTCCAAGGGGTCGGGACTGGTCCCGCTGGGGCGTTTTTCCACTTCCTGTTACTTTTGTGTCCGGAAGAAAAAAGCGAACCCTTACGAAGAAGTGGATCAAGAAAAATACTCCCATTTAGTTCGGTCCGTCTTGTCCCTCCGAGGCCAGGCTCAGACTCCAGAGTCGCTGCTGGAGGAAGATGCTTTTCTCTACGGACCCGTGAGTAAGTGCAAGCCCGCGGGAAAAGAGGAGGAAGCGAAAGCCCCGCGGAATTGGTTTCCTCTTTTCAATCCAGAGAGAGATCGGAAACCAAACTCAGCGAGTGATCCTGCAAGTCCCTTGAAAATACCTTTGCAAAGGAACACTATTCCGAGCGTGACCCGGATCCTGCAGCAGACCATGACCTCGGAGCAGATTTTCTATTTGGAGAGGTGGAAACAGCGCATGATTCAGGAACTGGGAGAAGACGGCTTTGCAGAATACACTTCAAGTAATTTTTTTTTCAATCTTCATTATTTATGATTACTGTATTAGAACAAAGCACAAGTGGCATAAGAATGGATGCCGTTTTTTTTTAAACCTTACCTAGTGAGGAACTACTTTGAAATTATAATTATCTTTAAATAGCACTTTATTTGCATCATGTTATCCTTATGACAACTGAATGACAATGTTTAATTCTCTATTCACAGATTGAATCAGAGAATCAAGCACTTTGATTAGACTTATTTTTATAATTTACAAACCTTAGTAGCAGAACTGCTTCTTTTGGTTTTCGGGTCAGACCTGACAGTGCTCAGGGATTACACTTGGTTCTCCACTCAGGGATCAAATCCAGTTCAGCCATGTGCAAGGCAAGCACCTTACCCGTTGTACTATCTCTCTGGCCTCTAGAACTAACTCTTCTTTCATTATGGAAAAGTTAATCACTTGATAAAGAAATTCTAGTTAACTTATTCAGAATCCAGTGTTCTATTTGCATAGGACTAACTCTGGAGATAAACCCAAACAACTTAATCAGTATGTAGCTCTGGATAAATTGAGAGAATCAGAGGTTCTTGATTTAGGAACTGAGAATAATTACTTTTATTTATTTATTAACTACCTAGACCAGTGAAAAGAGTAGCTTCCTTAAAACAGAGTTCATCAGGGGCTGGAGTGATAGCACAGGGGGTAGGGCGTTTGCCTTGCACGTGGTCGACCCGGGTTCGTGATTCCCAGCATCCCATATGGTCCCCCGGGCACCGCTAGGGGTAATTCCTGAATGCATGAGCCAGGAGTAACCCCTGTGCATTGCCGGGTGTGACCCAAAAAAAAGCAAAAAAAAAAAAACAGTTCATGGGACCAAAGAGATAGGACGGCAGCTAAGGCAGGGTAGTGCCTGCGGCCAGCCTGTATTTGATCGACAGCACAGCATACAATCCCTTGAGCCCTGCCAGGAGTGAGCACTGAGCGCAGAGCCTGGTTATTCCAAGCCCAGTGTGGCCCCCAAATCATGATTCATTCAGAAGCAAGAGAAAAGGAAAGAGCTTTGGAATGGGTAGCTTGTCTGCTCCTGTCCGTTTTCATTGATCACGTGCCTCTAGAGGTACACAGACCTATTTTTTTTTTTTTTGGTGGTGGAGTTTGGGGCAACCTCCAGCAGTGCTCAGAAGCTACTCTGGGCTCACTCAGTGATTGGGACTTCCTGGCAGTGCTCAGGGATTACACCTGTGGTAGACGGAATTGAAGCCAGATCTCCTCTGTTGAACTTTCAAACCCCACACACACTTTTTTTTTTTTTTAGTGAAAAGTATTTATTGTAAAGAAAAGGGGTGGAGGGGCAAGAATGCATGGGTATAATACATTAAAAAGCTTTTTTTTCTTTTTGGGTCACACCCAGCGATGCACAGGAGTTACTTATGGCTCATGCACTCAGGAGCACTTCTGGCGGTGCTTGGGGGACCATATGGGATGCTGGGAATCGAACCTGGGTTGGCTGTGTGAAAGGCAAACGCCCTACCTGCTCCAGCCCCTAAACAGCATATTTTTAAAAGAAAATCGAGGAGGCCGGTTGGTTTGGTTTGGGGTTGGTTTTTTGTTTGTTTTTTACTGAAGCACCCCTGACTGCTTAGGGCTTCCTCCTCACTCTGTGTTCAGGGACACTTCTGGCAGGGCTCTGGGGACTCTATGTAGTGCTGGGGATCAAACCCAAGTTGACCTCATGCAAGGCCTGACCCACTGTACTATCTCTCATTCCTGACTTAAATTGTTATGTAGGTGGTACCTAGATAAGGCAAAAATACCTTCTAACTGCTTACATTCTTTAAAATGCACCTGGGGGTGTGGCTCAGTTGTAAGACAGTTGTCTTGCATAAATGCAGCCCAGGGGGGGTTGATCCCAGGCACCACCATGAAAAAACATTTTGATAAAGAAATTGTACAGTGGATACTTGCCTTGCATGCAGCCAACCTGGATTAGATCTCCAGCATGGTTCCACAAGCCCTGCCAGGAGTGATCCCTAGCACTGCTGAGTTAGCCCCCTGCACCCCCCTTTCCCCCAAAAATTCCTAAAAATAAAAACTTATTCCTCCGGGAGATAGTACTGTGGGTCAGGCATTTGCCTTGCATGCAGGAAGGTGATTTTTATTATGAAGTTATTTAATTAATAGCTGAATAAATTATTATTATAGTAGCATAATACTCATGCTGGGTAAGCCCTGAGCATCGCTGGGCGTGGCCCCCCAAATAAAAAACATTTCTCAGCTATATGAATCTTTGCTGGGGCTAACTACCTTCTTAAGCCAATTCATAACAAATAGTAAACTATTCTCTGATTTCTAATCAAGTGGTGATCACTGTCATCCTGTTTATTGATTTACTCGAGCAGGCACGATAGCGGTTTCCATTCGTTCCAGCCCTGAGATTTTAGCAGCATCTCCTTATCCTTACTTGTCCTTCCCAATCAAGAGGTATATAAAAGAAATCTTTTAGTGGCATTTTTTTTTGGTACCCCTAGAATTTAGAGTTGACTTTTTTCCTCATGAGAAGTTCTTTTTAATTTTCTGAACTGGGAATCCTGAAATCCCGGATAAGGCTGAGAGCTGGAGTCCAGGGGTTTAGGGCTTGCCTTGTATAATCCTGATTCAGCCCCCTGCACTGCATATGGTCTTCCAAGTTCCCACAGGAGCGAATTTTGACTTTTGAGCACTGCCGGGTGTGACCCTAAAACAAAACAAAGAAATATGTATTATATATCCTGCCAGTTCTAAGTCAGTACTGGAAAGTCAAGTTTTGTTGTTCGGAGGGTTGGTTTTTTGGTGGTTCCCCAGCCCCACCCCCACCCAACCCTCCCACCCCCGAGGGGGGGCGGGTACCTTACTATCTGAGACTTGGAAACATTTTTCATGCCTTTAAAAGTAGGGTCAAAGTGATAGTACTTTGGGTAGGGTGCTTGCCTTGCACTTAACCAACCTGGTTCAGTCTTCAGCTCCATGTATGTTCCCCCAAGCCCAATCTGGAGTGATCCCTGAATGATAGAGTGAGGGGTAAGCCCTGAGCACTGCCAGGTGTAGCCCACAAACAACCACCCCCCCCCCAAAAAAAGGTTGAATAAATATGCTGACTTGATGCTTTCAGCAGTACATCTTGAATCTTTTATGGGGTCCAGGAAGGGTTGAGCCACACCCAGAGGTCTCAGGGCTTCCTCCTGGTTCTATAGCTGGGCTTTGGGGACCGCATGGGATGCTGGAGATTGAATCTGGGTCAGCTGCATGCAAAGCAAGGACCTTGCTCTGCCCCCAAATCTTCTTAAATATATTTTGACAAGTTAAATAATATTTAATGAACCGAGCCTTGCAGTCTAAGTGATCCAGCACTCAATTTCATGAAGAATCTAGCCAAGAATTAAAACCACAGTGGAAAATGAGCTCTCTATTTGTGTCACAGTTAATGAAATTTCTTTCTTCCTGTTTGTGTTTATGTTTCTCTCCATTAAGCTAGTCTTGTAGATGAATATAGTACTGCTTTTCCCTGGGTTTTAATGACACCAATGCTAAATCTCTTTACAAGGCTTTTTGTGTGCTCAGAAATCCAACTGCACCAAATAAGTGTGGGTATTGTCTCATTAGGTGAAATTGTTTCCTTATTGTGAATCTGTCTCCAAGCAAATCTGATTCCTACTCTGTTTCTATGTCTATCAGTAGGATCATCCCCCAAACCTGCACCTTCTCTCTGCTGTGAGTGGATGGGAATGAACACAGACGTTGGTGCCGGGCTGCTTGTCCAGCATTTTGCTTGATGGCAGATTGCCTAGGCCTCATTCATTAAAATGGGGCTAATGATCCATATCTTGCGGGCTTGTTGTATTTGAAAGTTAATATTTTGAAAGTGCTGGGCTACTGCTTAGCACAACAGCCCCCTTTCTCTCCTTCCCTTTCCAAGAGACAGCTGCTAATGAGCGGATAGTGTTTCTTGCATTTATTAAGTGTTTATATTCTCCTGTTAAAAGTGTATGAGACAGAAGTCCATGTCTTAGGGTGACCTCACTCTGAAAAAATAGAATTGCAGATCACCTCTTTTTCATCCCTTCCTCAAGTCCCACAACAACCAACAGTTTTTTAGATTATTTGTTTTTCAGCGCTAGCTTTAAATTGGTTCTTATTATCCTTTTACCCTGATTTTATTTTCAGACATATTCTTACAAGGGAAACAGTTTCATAAAGCCTTGGAAAGCCTACTTTCACCCCAGGGGACTGAAAAAGAGAAAGATGAAAAGCTTTTCGAATCTGGATATATTGAGAGTATCCAGCACATTCTGAAAGATGTCAGTGGAGTACAAGCTCTTGAAAGTGCTGTTCAACACGAGACCTTAAAATATGTGGGTCTGCTGGACTGTGTGGCCAAGTATCAGTAAGTATTGGGTGTTTTTTCTTCCCTATTAAAAAGTGGAGGGGGTGGAGACATAGTACAGCAGGTAAGGTTCATATGACTGGGTTTCATTCCCAGTACCCCATGTGGTTCCCCAAGTCCTCCAGGACTGATTCCTGAATGCAGAGCCAGGAGTGACCTCTGAACATTGCTGAGTGGCGCCAGTAAAAAAGTGGAGCTGGGGCTAGAGGGATAGCTTAACTTGCTCGGAACATATTTTGCATATGGAAAGCCTGGATTTGATCCTGGGAATCCCATGGTCCCCTAAACACCAAGAAGCAATCCCTGAGCACAGCACATAGAATATGACAATAATAGTAACAATAATAATAAAATTGTAAGTATGAAGGTGATTTAATGCAGGGTAGAATAGACACTGCTATCAAATAATACTTTTTCCCCCCATCCTACCCACCCCAAACCCTGCTTGATACTTTTCTTTCCTCTTGCTTCAGGGAGCAGGAGAGATAGCTCTGTAGGCTAACTGATACTTTGCATGCAGAAGGTTCGGGTTTGACCCCAGCACCACATGGGTCCCCTAATACTTCCAGGACCTACATCTGAGAGCATTGCCAGCAGTAGCCCCTGAATGTCACTTGGTGTGGTCCGAATTTTCCTCACCCTCCCAAAGAAAAACCTCGTGCATATTCAAGATGTGGCATCTGAAAACCCATGTGGGTTTACTTTTTAAATTTAATTTTTTTGTTGTTGTTTGTTTTGTGGCTACATCCAGCAGTATTCATGACTTACTTCTGGCTCTAGTCTCAGGGATCACTCCTGACAGGCCCTGGGGATCATATAGGATACTGGGGATTAAACCCTGGTCAATCTTGTACAAGGCAAATGCCCTCCCTGCTCTACTATCTCCCCAGTCTTATTTTTTAAGAGTTTTATTAAAGCATCACAATTTACAATTTCTCTGCTGCAGATCTCATTAATTTCACATTAAGATCTCATTAATTTCACAGTGCTCATTAATTTCAGCAAATTTGGCGGCTGGGAAGCAAACAAAGGTGGTTTAGTGCCAAGAGGAAGGGGCTATGTCTGGGAACAAAATAACAGCAAAATTTAAAAAAATAAATAAATCCCTAAGATTAATGTGTAAACCAATATAAGCGTCAATTTCCAAAGAAGTCTCAGCGAGTGCAGGCTGTGGGTGACATTGCAAGACCGCAGACAATGAGAACCATGCTTGTGGGCAGTCTCCGTTCCCTGGTAACGCTGCAGTGTTCTGCCAAGTAGTCTGTGACTGCTTTGATCATGCTGTGCCTCCACCATTATTCATAGCTGGATTTTTAGACGTACTATGTTCCAGCACCAATCCCAGCACCAGTATCTCCTTCCCTGCACCAGGGTTCCCACTCACCCCACCCCCATTCTGCCACCTTGAAAGGCACATTTATAAGTTCATTTCAGTGTTGTTGACTGTGGTTTTGCCGTGCAGGCGAGATACTCTCTGTAGCTTGCTGGGCTCTCTGAGAGGGACAGAGGAATCAAACTCGTGTCAGCTGTGTTGGCCACGTGCAAGGCAAATGCCCTGCCTGAGAGTATCTGCCCACACGGCAAAGCCTGGCAAGCTACCCGTGACGTATTCAATGTGCCAAACACAGTAACAAGTCTCACAATGTTACTGGGCCCGCTCAAGCAAATCGATGAACAACGGGAGAACAGTGACAGTGACTGTGGTTTGGATATTTGGCTATCCCACTCCTTTACACCACTGATGTGCTGGATCCCCTTGACCCCTGCTCTGCTTCCATCTATCTCTTTGCACCTCTCTCCCCTCAATTTCTTTCCTATTCTCCCTTCCTATACTCTGAGGCCCAGGGCATGTGGGGTTTTTTTTTTAACTCAAGAATAGGGTTTGAAGAAGGAAATGAGGACCAATACAGTAGGAAGAGACAGGATTATTACAAATGGCTGTTCCAAAGTTTCAGGGACTGGAGAGCTAGTACCTAGGTAAGGTGTTTTCCCTGCACGTGGCCAACCCAGATTCAATCCCCACCATCCTAGATCGTCCCTCAGTCATCTGGAGTAATAATACCTTAGAGTAGAGCCAGTAGTGACCCCTGACTTCACAGATGTGACCGCCCCAAAAAAACAACAAAGCAAAGTTTCAGTATCCCTTGAGTGACTTTTTTTTTCAGCATGTCCCTTTTCTTCTCCCTCAAGCCCTAAGATCCAATTCAGTTACTACATTTTTTTTTTCCTGTTTCCCAAATAGTATTTTGTTCTGTTGGCCCTGAAAATCAGCTTTTCCTGGCTTCCAGGCAGTATTTGATGTTGATAGGAACTCTCAGCTCACGAAAGTTTTCGGTCTTTTTCTTAGTTACTGCTGTGTTGCCATTTAAGTTAAAGAAAGAATAAGACTGCATAGATATATGGGGCTTAAGCCTTATGTGACATCCATTCTTGTTGGATTTCTGGCACCACATATGGTTCCCTGAGAACCCAGAGCACAGTTAGGTGTGGTCCAAAAGACAAAAAGAGAGAGAAACGTACAACAACTTCTAATAATTTTACAGGATAGCTACCTCAAATCTGTGTGCCTACAATTTTGACTTCTCTTTCAGTTGAAAGAGAGGGAACCATATATCAGTTCTACCCAGGGCCCATAAGAAGTTCTAGATACCAAGCATTTTTCATAGAAATTATGAACATACCCAGAAGGGGCCAGAGAGAGAGAGTACAGAGGTTTGCACGCAGCCAACCCCAGTTTAATCCCCCTCTCTGCCATATGTGATTCCTGAGCACCAAGTCAGGCTTAAGCCCTGAGCTCTGCCAGACACAGCTCCAAAACAAAAGTATCAACATCTGCTATGCTACATTAACTTCAAAAATCCAGTTCTGTCCTTCACCATACAATTGACCCTTTTTACCTAATTATATCTCACTTCCCTTCACTTAAGGTAACCACTAATTTGCTTATTTAAATTATTTTCAAGTATGTTGTTCTAGGCTGGAGCGACAGCACAGCGGGTAGGGCGTTTGCCTTGCAAGCGGACAACATGGCCAACCCGAATTCGATTTCTCAGCCCCTCTCGGAGAGCCTGGCACAAGCTACTGAGAGTATCTCGCCCACACAGCAAAGCCTGGCAAGCTCCCCGTGACGTATTCTATATGCCAACCATAGTAACAATTATCACAATGGAGACATTACTGGGCCCGCTGGAGCAAATTGATGAACAACGGGAGGACAGTGACAGTGACAGATGTTGTTCTAACAGTGTTTCCCAAAGAGAGTAGTATCACTCCCTTGGGGTGCTAGAAAGATCTAGTAAGATGGTAGTAGTCTCATGTGCGGTTGGTGTAGCGGGTGCTCTCTGTTTGCTTTAATCACTTTTGGGGTTGAGTTTTGGAGACACGCCCAGCTGTGCTTTCTCCTTCCTCTGTGCTCTAGGATCATTCCTGGTGGGGTTCAGGGAACCATATACAGTACCAGGAATCAAACCTGGGTCAGCTGCATGCAAGGCAAGCACTTTAACCACTGTGCTATATCTCTCTGGCCCTTTTTGCTTTTAGAAAGTCTGAGTTTTGTTTTTTCTGAAAAGGGCAGTAGGCAAATCAATTTGGGAACCTCTGTAACATGTTGTTTGTTTTCATCACTATTAATCAAAATTTTTCATATACATAAGAAAGAGGGAATGAGTCTTAAATCATAGCTCAGAGTACCTAAAGGTCACCCTCAAATGACTTAGTAATGAAAGGAAAGAAAAAGACATAACTGGGTGCCGGAGCCGTAGTACAGCAGGTAAGGCCTTCCCCATGGCCGACTCAGATTTTATTCCCAGTACCCCGTATGGTCCCCCGAGCCTGCCAGGAGTGATCCCTGAGTGCAGAGCTAAGAGTAAGCCCTGAGCATTGCCGGGTGTGGCCCAAAAATGAAACAAATTTTAAAAACAGATAAAAGCAGAACAGTAACTTCCCCCTCTCCTCCCCAAATTCAGAAAAGATTTTATTTGGGGAAAAGGAAAGAAAGGGGAGTTTAGGGAAGCTTCCAGATTATAAGAAGAGTCTCCTAAAGGAGCATTCCCAGAACAATAACATATTAAGGAAAAATAACAGGAATTAGAAAATTCATGTATTTCTGCTCTTTTAACCAGTCAGCAGCTTCCTAGCAGCATTACATTGAGGAAGTCCCTGCTGAGTGGGGAGGTGGTGACCTCTGCCTTATCTGGGACTGCAGTAAGAAGTTGTTGTTCTTCATTTTTGCCTTAACCATGTTATTATCCCCAGGATCAAAATATCTTTGCACACTCTCTTTTACTGGGGAGAGGGGCCGCTCCTGGCTAGATTTTCAAAGGCCACTCCCAGCACTAGGTGACTGGGCAGTGCCAGGGGTCCTGAATGCAAAGCTTGTGCTCCAGCCATGCTTTGAGCCATCTCTGTCGTGAGTTTACTTTTCTACAGTCATTTCTTTTTTGTTTGCTTACCCCTGGCTCCGTGCTTAGGTATCATCCTGGGCAGGCTCAGGGGCCCATCTGTGGTGCTGAGGATTATTATGTCCGCTCCTCACTTGCTCTACTGTCTTTCTAACCCTGCTGTACTATTGCTCTGTCCCCCAGGTAGTACTTTGTAAAGTAGTAGATGGACGAGGTCCTGGGTTCAAGTAAGCCATAGGATACAAATAACAAAAAGCACAGGACTCAAGTAACTATAAATAATCAAAAGCAAAGGAAAGAATCTCTGTGCTCACCTGAAAGCTATAGTTGGCATCATGGTTTATGGCACCAATGTAGGCTACAACCTGCAGGGGGTTGTCGAATGTATTTCGGAGCAAAGGTTTTGGTTTCTCTGATGTCTTCCAGTCAATCACACACAGCTTGCCCCTGCAGAGAAACCAGAGGAATTCTTTGTAGGCAGTAGTTTAAACAAAAGCATTCTTGGGTTAAATGTCTTCTTTAGTATTTTTGGTTTGGCGGGGAGCAGGGGTGAGGGGGATGTCAGATTTGGTGGTGCTCAGGGCTAACTCCTGGCACTATGCTCAGAGATCACTCCTACAGGAGTCAGGTACCATCTCCATTGCAGGGATAAAACTGAGGCGGGGCCTTGTACAAGGTAACTACCTTCCTTCACCCCTCTGCTATCTCTCTGGCCCCTAGCTCTTTTCTGAGATCTATTTCACTCGTCTTCACTGAGTCTCTTGAGTCTCTACTGTCCAGAAAGCTCTCCTGAGCTTTACTTCTCAGGATTAAGAGTGTGATGTCCTCTATGAGTTCTTTGTCCAGGTTGTCTTTGAGGGATACAATGGAAAATGCTTCCCAAAGTGCACCAAGGAGAGTGTGAGGGCAACTCTGTAGAGTGTCAGGGAAAAAACTTTTCTGTAGTATCTCCTTCTACAAATTTCTGTGTAGCTCCTTTCCTTTAACAATTGACAGAGAACTGTAGCTATATCTATTTTCACAATTCCCTATCAAAAGGATTAAGCATCATGGTGTTTCAGAAGTTCTCTTGCTCAGAAACCAAAGCTGGGTTCAAAAACACAGGCATTTAATTAATTTCAACTATATGCAGAAATAAAAAAGAGCCCTGATTCCTGCTCTAAAAAAATTCCAGCATAAAGGTGTCTTACAACTAAGGATATTGGGGTAGGGTCAGGGGGTGGGAGTCCATATAACTTTTTCTGTTGGTTGGTTGGTTGGTTGGTTTGGTTTGGTTTGGGGCCACACTCAGCCCCAGTGATGCTCAGGGCTTACTCCATGATTTTATCCTTTCTAGACTGTTCCATTTCAATACCGAGATAGCTTCGTCACTCATCCCGGGTCCAACCCAGTCCCACAGTGGGGCATCCCTTGTGGGGTGTTAGGAACTACAGCAACTGAAGCCTGAGTCAAGTAATTATGATGGATGCCTAGGAGTAGATATATTTCAGAGCCAATCAGCTCCCAAATATTAGTAGCATAGCATGAACGGTCTTTCTGTGTTTAAGCAAAGAATATTGATCTATAGTAAAATATGAAAAGGCTATAGGGGAAATAGAAAAGCAAGTAATTCACTATAAATACAAAGTCAGAATAACCAGAAAGTTTGACTAACCCTGTGACTTGTGGAATTGTGGCAATGAAAGATAAAGCACAAAAGAAAGGTTAAAGATAAACCAGGGGGATTAGGGGTGTTCCTCCTCTGGGAGGAGGGAAAGAGGCAATTCACTGATGAAGCCTATATCCGGGTCAAAATCCAGTAGGCCTCGTGCAAGGCAAATGCCCTACCCACTGCACTCCTGTTCCTCATGTAACATTTGTGAGTGTCAGATTCCCCACTCCTCCCATCCTAATGGAATTTTATACTTGGCAGTTGCAGATATCAGATAGGTCCTAGGGTAAGTGGACTGACTCTTAGTGATTCCCAAAAGTCTCTATTCAGTGAACCTTTTGGGACTTCAGTCTCAGAATCAGCAGTCTCGAAATATGTTAACCTACCCATCAGGATAAAAGTCATTATTGGAAAAACTCTTGACAAAAACATGCTCTATGCTGCTAGAAGATTGGAAGTTCTTTTTCTAAGATCAGTAACAAGACAAGGCTGTCTCCCCTTTGGAGGGTGGGGGCTACCCACTGGGCTGTGCTCAGGGATCACTCCTGTAAGACTGAGGACAATACGGGGTGCCTGGGATTAAACCAGGACTAGAGATTTGGGAGGCAGAGCCTATAGCCCTCAGTCCCCAAGACAGTCTGCTCTTGGTCCTGTTTTCAGCAGAAAACTGGTTGTTTTGGTCCAGGACAAAGAAGCCTAGATAAAGAAATATTCAAATGGAGGAGGAGGAAGTAATTATCTCTAGTCTTCCCGGGGATATGATGTTCCAATTTCAAGTTCAGCACCCTAAAACAAATCTCCCGAAGGCTGTGTGCATGCTTTGTGTTAGAGTACATTTTCCATCACCGCATGTTCTCCCCAGGAATGCCAGGAGTAGTTACCTAACTCTCCAGGTGTGTCCCCAAAGTAAAGGGAAAAAACCTATCGAGTCTGGAGAGCTACTAGAGCAAGTAGGACACTTGCCTTGCATGTGCCAACCCAGATCCGATCCCTGTCACTCCATATGGGCCCAAGCACTGCCAGGAGGGATCCCTGAACATAGAGCCAGGAGTAAGCCCTGAGCACTGCCAGGTATGGTTCAAAAACAAAGCAACCCGTCTACACAAAACTCTGATAGTATTAATGGATAAATTCAGCAAAGTAGTAAAGGATGGCGGGGAGGGGGGGGGGGGGCAGAATGGTTGAAGCTCCCTCACCCTCTGCACTTGTTGCGAACAAATAGGCCCACGAAGCCATCCAGGTGTGAAGGCCAAATACTGCTTGTTCCCATAACTCTGGAAACACAGCAGGGAAAGTTAAAGGAGTAAATCCCGGGCCTGCAGAGAGCTCCATGTTAAGAGCATTTGCCTTTCAAGTGTGAGGCCAGAGCTGGATGCCCAGCACCACCTGGTGGTGGTACTGCTTGTGATCCCCGGTGTCACCAGTGTACAGCCTCGAGCGGAGCACAACCCAGTGTGCTTAGTACCCCAATCAAGTATGTGAACTCTGGCTAGCACTGGACCCAGAACTTACACATGCCAACAAAGATGTTGGACCCTGATCATCACAACTACCATAGCACAGGGTAGGGAAAGGACAGTTGAGCTTTAGGGGGAGAAAGAAAGCAAACTGAAAGCAAGGTATCCTGATCAGGGACAAACCCTGCAAGGGCAAAGTTCCTCATTTTCTGTTTGTTTGCAGCTTGAAAGATAGCACACGGCTGAAGGTGGTTACTTGCCTTGCACAAGGCCCTGAGTACCACCAGATCTGACCACCCCTCCCCCCCAAAAAAAAAACACAAAAGTACAAAAGAAGATATTTGACCCAAGAGTGTTTTTGTTTAAACTACTGCCTACAAAGAATTCCTCTGGTTTCTCTGTAGGGGCAAGCTGTGTGTGATTGACTGGAAGACATCAGAGAAACCAAAACCTTTGCTCCGAAATACATTCGACAACCCCCTGCAGGTTGTAGCCTACATTGGTGCCATAAACCATGATGCCAACTATAGCTTTCAGGTGAGCACAGAGATTCTTTCCTTTGCTTTTGATTATTTATAGTTACTTGAGTCCTGTGCTTTTTGTTATTTGCATCCTATGGCTTACTTGAACCCAGGGCCTTGTTCATCTACAACTTTACAAAGTACTACTGAGGGGACCAGAATAATAGTACCGCAGGTAGGATACTTTCCTTGCATATAGCTGACAGCTTTGATCCTCAACACCCGACATGTTTTCCTGAGCCTCCTCAAGATTGAGTCTTAAGTACAGAGCCAGAAGTTATACCTAAGCACAGCTCGGTATGGCTCCAAAAAGAAAAAATAAAAGTACCACCTGGGGCCTAAGGAGATGGCTTGCCTTGTAAGCCCAGTGACCCAGATTCTTTCTTTGGTACTGACCACACATATAATTGGCCCCAGCACAATGGGCCCATCAGAGCCAAGTCAAAGAGCCTTTACCTTAATATTCAGAGTAATGTTTGGCCCCCTGCACACTTCTTGGAAGAGCCTCTGAAATTTTTTTTTTTGAGATTTTAAAATTTATTTATTTTTAATTTTTTTTGTTTCATTTTTATTAGTGAAACACCATGAGGTACAGTTGTAGACTTACAAATTTTTGTGCTTGGGTTTCAGTTATACAATGATCCAGTACCCATCCCTCCACCAGTGCCCATTCTCCATCATTTACTTTTTTTTTTTTTTTAAATTTTTGTTAGTGAAACACCATGAGGTACAGTTGTAGATTTACAATTTTTTTGTGCTTGGGTTTCAATTATACAATGATCAAATACCCATATCTCCACCAGTACCCATTTTCCACCACCACGGGTCCCAGTATCCCTCCCATCCCCTATGCCACATCCCACCCTGCCTCTGTGGCAGGGCATTCCCTTTTTTTTCTCTCTCTCCTTTTGGGTGTTACGGTTTGCAAAAGAGGCATTGAGTGGCAGTCATGTTTGGTCTATTGTCTACTTTCAGCATGCTTCTCCCATCCTGGGAGGATCCTCCCAACACCTTTTATTTGGTGCTCCCTTCTCTATCTGAGCTCCCTTTTCCCCTAGCATGTGTGGCTGGCCTCCAAGCCATGGAGCAAAACTCCTGGTACTTATCTCGGCCACTCCTGGGTGTTAGTCTCCTATTTTGTTACTTTATGTTCCCCAGATGAATACAGTCTTTCTATGTCTATCTCTCTCTTTCTGACTCATTTCGCTTAACATGATACTTTCCACGTAGTACTACTTGTATGTAAATTTCATGACTTCATCTTTTCTAACAGCTACATAGTACTCCATTGTGTAGGTGTACCAAAGTTTCTTTAACCAGTCATCTGTTTCAAATTTTTCTTTTAATAAAATTATTCAACCAAAGCACTATACATTCTTCTAGGACTTTTCAGGGTTAATTATTCTTTTTCTTTTCTTTTTTCTTGCTTTTTTTTGGTCACACCTGACAATGCTCATGGGTTACTCTTGACTCTGCCCTCAGAAATTATTCCCCGTGGTACTAGGAGGACCATATGGGATGCAGAGGATAGAGTCCAGGTCGGCCACTTGCAAGGCAAATGCTCTGCCTGCTATACTATAGCTCCAGCCCGGTTAACAGCTCTTTAATGATCACAGTCCATTCTCCCAGGCCTGGTCTGTCATCTTTGTGTTCTTGTTTATCCTGCAGTCATTCATCAAGCCTTCTTAGGCATTGAGTTTGGAGACACTACTGTAGATTAGTCTCTGCTTGCCCTGGTCTGGATTAGAAGGAAGTGGATCAACGACTCTCCCTATGTTTGCTTCTAGGTTCAGTGTGGCTTAATTGTGGTGGCCTACAAAGATGGGTCCCCTGCCCACCCACATTTCATGGATTCAGAGCTCTGCTCCCAGTACTGGACCAAATGGCTTCTTCGACTCGAAGAATATACAAAGAATAAGAACCAGCAGACTCAGAAAGCAGATTAGGAAAGGACACTGTTGGAAGACCACTCACCACTTTCTCAAGAGTTTGGGAAGATAGAGCCTGTTCCCTGTGTGCATGGAAACAGCTGAAGCAGTTGTACAGCAGGTAGAACACTTGTCTTGCATGTGACTGACCAGGGTTTGATCCCCAGCATCCGAAAAAGTCCCCTGAGAACCACCATGAGTAATTCCTGAGAGCAGAGCCAGGAGTAACCCCTGGGCATCACCGGGGACGGCCCAAAAAGCCGCCCCAAAATTAAGGAGAATGCCACAGGATCTGAGAGCAACACTCACCCAAATGGAAATGTTAATTTGTTGAAATTTGATGCAACCGAAAAGACTTAAAAACAAAAAAGTTTTAGGATCAAAGAAGTGGACTTTAGCAAATAAAAGACCAACTCTGCAACCTCTGACTTCATTTTGCAGAAAAGTAGGCAAGCCAGACTGACATGTCACTCAAGGTCTTTGTACTCCCTATAGATCTTTCCGCACCCTGGGAAGGATGCCCAGCCTTTGATCAAGGGCAGTGAAGCTTGTGAGGTTTGCCCAGTGCATACCAGGGAAGGGGCAACCACCCTGTATGTGCAGAGGGAGAAGTCTTGTATCAGCCAGTCACTACTGCCAGTACAGTTTGTTAAGAACTGTTTGAGATACTGAAGCTCTGTATCTATTTCATTGAGGGCAGGGGATTTCCACTTAATCAGTAATGCCTCTTGAGAATACAAATGGCCCTTCTCTCCCTTTCTACTCCCGCATTCCCCCCAAGTTTAGGATATAGCTCCGTGGTAGAGCGCTTGCCTTGCACGTGCTCTACATGGAGCCCTGATTCCATCTCTGGCACTAAATAATAAAACAAACAAAAACAAAAAGTGGAATTCTCAGTGTAGAATTCTAATGGCTATATTCTGATTTGAGTTCCTGGGTCATATCACAAATCATGACCATCCTGTTATTCGTCGATTGCCTCAAGCAGGCCCCAGCAACGTCTCCTTCATCCTAGCCCTGAGATTTTTAAGAAAGTGCTATATTCAAGGCTCTTTAGGAGAATGAGACCCGTCATTGTTACTGGTATTTGGCATATTGGGTACACCACGGGGAGTTTGCCAGACTCTGCCGTGTGGGCAGGTTACATTCGGTAGCCTGCCGGTTTGTACAAAGTAGGAATGAGATAATAAGATGTCGCACGGCCGCAAATGCGGCAGCGCGTTTCCTGGAGCTGGTTTTTATAGTCTCTGAGTCTTGGCCGTTGATGGGATTATACGGCGCCAGGGGGCCAGTTGGTGGTTGTGATCCCCACCTCCCCAGAAAAAAAGAACTAAGAATCAGGGCTGGGGAGATGGCAGGACTTGCACCCAAGTACTGCGTCCCTCAAGTACCCCCAGGAGCAGCCAATATGTCCTCTCCCTGCAGTGAGCCAGGACTGGCCGAGCACCACAGGGTGTGGCCCAAAGCAAAACCAAAAGTAGGGGAAAAAAAAGAATCAGGGCAAGGAGATATAGGTTAGAGCTTACACCCTGTGTGCTGGAAGGCTGAAGAGGACCCATGCTGCGGGCACCCTCGCCCTGGTGCCTGCCGGTCTGAGCCCTAGGTCCCAGGGACTTCTGGGAACTGCCCAGAACTGCTAAAGCTCCAAGCACTGCTGGGAAGAGTTCCAGTATTCCTAGGAATATCTCCAGTGCTACTGGATTAAAGCCCCAGTACTGCTGGGAGTAGACCTGAGCACTGCTGGGTATAGCCCCAAGGACTGCAGGGTGTGGCCCAGCACTGGGCAGGTGCTGTGTCACCTTGAGGGACCGGGCCCTAATGCCTGCAGGCCGCCCGCCCCATGCTGCCAGTCCCTGCCCCCGAGTGCCAGGAAGGCTTCTGCACAATCACTTTATTTTTTAAAGTCTTTCTTGGGGGTGGGGGCAGAGGGAGAGGCCCAAATGCCCAGGTGCGTTTGCCTGGCACATGACCCAACCTGAGTTCAATCCTCGGCTTCCCATAGGGTCCCTGAGCTCGACCAAGAGTAATTCCTGAGTGCAGAGCCAGGAGTAAGCCCTGAGCACTGCCGGGTGTGGTCCAAAATAAGGGTGTTTGCCTTGCAAGCGGCCAACATGGCGACCCAAGTTCGATTCCTCTGCCTCTCTTGAGAGCCCGGCAAGCTACCGAGAGTATCTCACCCGCACAGCAAAGCCTGGCAAGCTACCCATGACGTATCATATTCGATATACCAAAGACAGTAATAGGGCGCCCTCGTCCCCCTGCCCCCAGCTTCCCAGGAGGGTCCCTCCAAGGGAGCAGAGGCAGCACTGTGCCCCGGCTCTACTGGGGGTCTGGGGGGGTCTGTACAGCCCCTGGGGGAGCGCTGAGTCTCGGGGGCCTGTGCCCTGGCTCAGTGGGGCACCCCTGGCGCCCCTAGCGGGACAGTGGGAGATGAGGGGGCATGGGGCCCTGGGGTCAGAGCTGGGGGCTCTTCTGCTTCCGCATGGGGGTCACAGAGACCTTGGTGACCTGGGCCCTCTGGGCTGGGGCCCGCCTGCAGCCCCTGCTGTAGTCTGGGCGGGCGAGTCGCGGGGGCCATCCCAGCTGCAGCAGTGCTTGGGGACCATTTGGCACAGACCCCTTTGCTGCCTCTCTGCCCCCATGTTCTTGATTCTTTAAAAGAAGCGTGTGGGAGCCAGAGACACTACAGCAGACAGGGCACTTGCTTGGCGTGCAGAAGACTCGGGGTCGAATCCCGGCACCCCATAAGATCCCCCTGGGTCCGCCAGGAGTGGCCCCTGAGCATCGTCAGGCGTGGACCAAACAGTCACTGTCACTGTTCATGAATTTGCTCGAGCGGGCCCAGTAATGTCTCCTGGGTCATATACACACAGAAAATGTACTGTTTGTGGAATTTTTCAGTATGGGCAAACTATCCAATAGCTTTATCTGTGTTTGATAAATAATAAAAATTATTATCACTGGGTTTGGGAAACCAAAGTATATGTCTAAGCCCTAGAAAGGGGTTTGCTCTTTTACAGAGTGTTTTGTTTGTTTGGTGCCACACCTGGTGATGCTCAGGAGTTACTACTGGCTCTGCATTCAGGAATCACTTCTGGAGGTACTCAGGAGATCATAGGGAAAGGAAGATAGAACCTGGGGATCAGAGCCAGGAATTGAACTCAGGTATGTGGCTGCATGCAAGGCAAGTGCCTTACCTGCTTTACTATCTCAGCCCTAGCCTTTTTGTTTGTTTATTGTTATCAGTAGTGCTCACGGCTCACTCCTGGTTCTGCACTTCTGATTATTTCAGGCAGGACTTAGGAAACCATATGCTGGGAATCAAACTCGGGTTGGCTGTGTGCAACGCAACAGCACCAGTCGCTGAGTTAGCATTTTAAGTTAGATTTGCCATCTTGAAATGAGCGGGTAGAGCCAGAGAAATAGTACAAGGGATAAGGTGCTTGCCTTGCTTGCAGCGACCCCAGTTCCATTGTTCCCCGAGTACCACCAGGAGTAATACAGAGCCAGGAGTAGCCTCTGAGGACTGCCATGTATGAACAAAAATAGGCTTTGTAGAGGCAGATGGGGGGCGAGGGGTGGAAGGAGGATAATTGAGGACATTGGCGGTGGGAAATGTACACTGGTGAATTGGGATATGGTGAAGGGACTGGTGTTGGAACATTGCATAACTGAAACCCAATGCTGGACAACTTTGTAAATATTTTTCTCATGGTGATTTAATTTAAAAAAATAAATTTAAAAAAATGGCTTCTACAGTCACTTTTTTCTGTCATTACTATGAGAAATAGATTTGAGTTAATGAGGTTCCTTGTTTATTTTATAATAAATTGAAAATTGTTCTTGAATTTGATTTTTAATCGCTGAACGGTTTCACTGGCCTAGCAGCTATGGTAAGTGACCTGTGTGACTGCTGACTTGATAAGTAGAGTCAGGAAGGAGAGAAGAGGATCAAGGAAGATCTTGTTTTGACTCAGTATTCTTCGGCAGTGTTTTCAAAGTAGCCATTGTAGTCTGTGATTTCCAGTTAGAAACCAAGTGGGATCATTTAAAATTGCACCAGCAGACTTATTCTAGTAAGTTACACCCTAGAATTTAGGAGACTAGATCCAGGAAGATTTCCACACTATAGGATCTGAAGCGATAGCACAGCGGGTAGGTTGTTTGCCTTGCATGCGGCCGACCCAGGTTCGAGTCCCAGCATTCCATATGGTCCCCTGAGCACCACCAGGAGTAATTCCTGAGTGCAGAGTCAGCCTGTGCATCACTGGGTGTGACCCAAAAAGCAAAAAAAAAAAAAAAAAAAAAGTTCCACACTATAGAGTTCACTGGGGTAAAGATAAATGTTTCTTGAACGGGTCTTTTCCCCAGCTAATGGTGGTAGACCCTCAGAGTCTGACCAGGAGAACCTGGTGGTTGGTCTGAGAAGAGCAAAGGTACAGCCTGAGCAGGTTTTCCTGACCCATACACCAGTGTACTCTACTACTGACACTCTTGATGCTCAGGGAGCACCAATTAACTATCAATTCTTTGAGAGGACAAATGTTAATCTTTTGTTTCTGGGCCACAACCAGTGTGCTGGGTTAGTCCTGACTCTGTGCTCAGGACTCCTGGCAGTGTTCCCAGAGGACCATATAGATTTCCGAGGATCAATCCTGGGTCAGCTGTATGCAAGGTAAGCAAGTGCCTTACCCCCTGTGCTATCACTCCGGCTGCAAGAAGTGTTAATTTTAACAAAAGTTAGTTTTACTAATTGGGCAGAAGTGGAGAAAGCCAAATTTGGTTCTTAGAAAAGTCACAACTCTTCAAAATACGTGTGTGTTCATTAATAGTGTAGGCTTTCTCTAGTGTGTTCGGTGGCCATGAGAGGCTTCTCCACCTCGGCCTGTAGCCACCAACAGACTCATTTGGTGGGAGGGAACAGGGCTGCCAAGTTGGTTGGTGATTGGGTTGCTGTTTATTCAATCTCTGTCCCACCCCATTTATTCCATTCTCCCCACGCGCCTATTCCAGTCTCACTGCACACCCCATTCCCCTTTCACACTGCCCCCATTCCTGTTTTGCTGCCTTAGTCAAGAGCCCAACTCTAGGAGTTTGGAATAGCAAATACACATGGGTCAGATAGCACAATCAACATATGGAAAGCCCTTCCTTCCAGGAAGCTCTTCTAAAATAAAGATCTCATCTTGCTAGGAGATCTGCTCAGAGACAGAATTTTATACAAGGGCGTACTTCTCCTTTCCTTAGTCCATAACCATTTAAACAGCCACCTTAAATTTACTTCTTAATAATCTTTCTAGTCATGTTGTATGGACCAAGATATATTAAACTTATAGGGTGGGTCTCCTGGGGACATCTTACTATGGATCCCAGACTACAGTCCTCAGGCCAGATTAGCCCTTCCTAATACCTGCAGGATTCTTGTCCAGTCATTTCTCTTTGGGTCATGACAGTATTTGTCCATGACTGTGCTCTCAGGTCCATCTAAATCCCTTCGTCAGGACCCTGCTTTGGGGCTGCTAGGAAGTAAGGGCAACTGAGGCTTAAATCAAGTAAATATGACAAATACCCAGGAGTAAATATTATTCGGAGTCAGTCAGCTCCCAAGTTACAAAAGCATAGCGTTAACTGTCTTCCTGTGTCCATACAGAAAGGACATTGCTCTAGAGGCCGGAGCCATAGCACAGCAGGTAGGTAGGGCTTTTGCCTTGCACTCAGCCGACCTGGGTTTGATTCCCAGCATCCCATATGGTCCCCTGAGCACCACTAGGAGTAATTCCTGAGTACAAAGCCAGGAGTAACCCCTGTGCATCGCTGGGTAAGACCCAAAAAGCAAAAAAAAAAAAAAAAACCCAAACAGAAAGGACATAAGGGAAAGAGAGAAATGCAACGTTTCGCTTACAAATACAAAATCCAGAGTCCTTAGAAGGACTTACAA